CTGGGCCTCCCTGATAGAAAAACTGAAAATTGGAACAAAACCTGGATGTCATCTTCTGTATGAAGGTATTTTACTAGAAAGTTGAGCGAAAGGACAATTGTTGCTTATCAATTCAGAATGCCTGGCCTGTCATTGGAGATTGTTTAGTAGACCCCTTTTCATCATTCTGCTTCATTCTATCTCTATTCTCCCACTCTGCAGAATCTAAAGCTAGGCTTAAAACTTTCCTTTTTGATAAAGCTTATAGTTAGAGTAGCTCAGGTTATCCTGAGCTATTTCTATAGTTATGCTGCTATAGGCTTAGGCTGCTGGAGGACATAGGGACCCCTTTTTCATCATTCTGCTTCATTCTATCTCTATTCTCCCACTCTGCAGAATCTGTTAGTTAGGGCTGGGTATTGTTCAAAAATTTTCGGTTCCGGTACCAATACCGATACCTTCACTTCGATACCGGTTCCTGAACGATACTTTTTTCGATACCAGTTTTATAATATCAATTCGAGAAAAAAAAGAAAATTACACAATATAAAAAAGTACAAATCTTGAGTTTTATTTTAAGCTCTGATTTTTCCATTTACATTTTTCCTCTTACATAAAAAAAAAAATTCAGTGTCTAATATTCACTGTTAGATTGTGAGGACCTTTTTACTTAGCAGTTTTCCTTTAGAAAAATGACCATGTCTGACAAACAAGCCCGTTGAATGGGATCCTACTGACAGCACCGCTGGTATGGGGGGGTCTGAGTGGCTCCGACAGAAATATTGGAAGGCCGGATGAACTGACTGCACCGATTAAGTTTTCAGTTGGATTTTCCCACTTAAAAACATAATAAAACTACTTTATTTCCACTGATCACAGCAAATATAGCTGCAAGGCAAATAAAGGATAGAGTAGCTCCGCCCAACGCGCGTCAGACCCACTTTTCGACCGCACAGCCAGAGCAGCAAAGCTTCTTCAGCCGTGCGTCAGAAGCTGGTACAAGCAGCAAAAAAGAAGCAGCAGACGTGATTTTGCTGGCCCTGCTGCGTCCGGTTTGAAAGCAGCATTCTCCATGAGTGTCTCGCATTATTCACTCCGCTCTGGCTTTGCTCCGCCCACGGGCTGCTGAGAGGAGGATGGTCGCGCTGGCTGCGGTCCGCTCTTCTTGCAGTCAAACACAGAGCGACTTTCTGCTCTTAAATTATTTCCGTGCACGATGTATTGCATTGCGCACTATTAGCATCAGTCTTAATAAAGTGAAGCCGCACGTTTGACCTGGGGGGCATTTTAAAGGGGTTCCGCGACGCTCACAACAGATACACATGAACCCTGGCCGTAGGCGTGACCACCTGTGTATTTTTCCTGGATGACGCAATCACCTTAAGTGTTACAGCCAATCACCGAAACTTGGTACCGAAAGACGAGGCATGTTTCAATACTCTGTAGAACCGAAGCATTTCGGTCGGTACCATAAAAGTACCGAAGTTCGGTACCCAGCCCTACTGTTAGTTCAATCTCTAACGTTCTGCTCTCTCTGCTTTTTCTCATAGTAGCTTCATCTGGTCTGTTCCTGTTTGGCTGTGACTCCATCCTGGAGAGAAATATCAGCTGTGCTGCTGCCATCAACACCCTTGTTTATAGATGTTGGAGATCGGCCTGTTTTCCAGTGTAGTCCTGTTTCTCTGACTGTGACTAACTGGATGTGCTCTCTTCATCCTCTGACATGGGAGCTGGCTTGGAGCTCGTCTGCCTGGCTGTGTGTTTCTGCCTGTGGAGCTGGTTGACAGTTGCCTTTTGTATCTATGCTTCTTTTTCTATCTCTGCTTCTGTCTCCTTGAACCCCAGTGGGCCTCAGCAGATGGCCGCTCACACTGAGCCTGGTTCTGCTGGAGGCTCCTTCCTGTTCAAAGGGAGTTTTTCCTCTCCACTGTCGCTGCAAGCATGCTTAGTGAGAGGGATTGCTGAAGAGTCAATGAGTCGATGCAATCAACTGGTTTTCCTTAGAATCCTTTCCGGCTGGATGATCTGGTGAACTTGAAGTGCCTTGAGATTAGGGCTGCAACTAACGATTATTTTGAAAATCGATGAGTCGGACGATTATTTTTTCGATTAATCGATGAATCGGACAAAAAATATTTTTTATATTAACCTCTTTATTCCAAAATAAACATTTTAGACAGAACAAACAAGCACACAAGTACAGGTTGCTCATTAACTGTACTGGTGCAATATGAAAAATAAATGTTTGTGTTAAAACTACGCAAACTTACATGAGAAATGTAGCTGTACATCCACAAAATATAGGGTACTTTGTTTCATAAAGCGCAAAAAAATACATTTTTGTTTTTAAAAGCCCCTAAGGGGTTCAAACAATAGGCCCCCCCTTTTCAACAAATGAGGTTTTTATAGACTAGAAGAGTTCTGCCTTTTAAGACAGGAAAGTATAGCAGTTAAAGTTGCTGCTTGAGAAAATACTGAACCATAGAGATAAAAATAGCCCTGTGATTCAGATTATAAATTGTATTTGGAATAAAAATGAGAGAACTAGGGGTGCTAAAAAACACATCCTCCAAAGACAGATATTTACATGGGAATGTGGCAGATAATTAATTGACATATTACTGATCTTGCTGGATTTTATTCTGCTTTACTTCCATAAATTGCAGGATCTTCTTTACTTTATCTTTGCCAGAAGATTTAAACTTTAAAAGCCTTGCCCTCATAATTTGCAAGTTAATTTATTTATAAACTAAATGTAAACGCTGCTTAAGCTAATTCAAATTAAATTAATAGTAAAATAAGTAGCCAACCTTATCACTGTCTGTAACCTACTAACACGGTAAGGAAAGCATCAGATGAGCTACCTGAGAAACTAACGTAACGTTTCCCCACTTTAAAACCAAACAAACATGGTGCTTCCGTGCCATGTTAATTTCTTTTGAAAAAAGTTGCATGTTATCACTTTTTTCGCTTTACAAAGCGCAGGCTATTTTAATTATTGTGATCAATTTGCGCCGTCAATCCCGGTGCATGCGCGCATCATTTGCAGTCTGGAAGCTGAGGCTCTGACTGCAGCGCTGAGAAGGACTCCTGCTGGAAAACACGGTTGGGGTGGGGGAGGCGCCCCATGGCAGAGTAGGAACGATACATGCTTTCACGTAAGAGTCTCTAAAAGCCGCCAGTGACACCGAAAAAAGTCGCCAGATTTGTTGCTAGTCGCTTTTTTGAAAAATAGTCGCTGGAGGGGTCTGAAAAGTCGCTGAGTTGGCAACACTGCACCTGCGGCGCTGACTCGCTCTGCCATATTTTTTTTTTCTTCCTCTTTCAGTCAAGAGGCAGTGATGACGACGGAGGCGGATGACGCAATAATCGCGCGACACAACTAATCGATGATGAAATTCGTTGCCAACGCTTTTAAAAGTCGATTTTTATCGATTTTATCGATTCGTTGTTGCAGCCCTACTTGAGATTACATGTGCTGTGAATTGGAGCTGTATAATTAAACTGAATTGAACTGAAATGTAGGTATTAAATTAAAATCGTGATGGCAACATCCATGCGATGCAACAGATGGCTTATGACATTCGGAAGGCTGATATATTTCGATGGATTTCTATTTGAAATGTTAGCGTGTGTTTAGTTGGAAGCTAAAAGTCTGTAGTTTTCTTCCTTATGTTTGTTTTCAATGACGGCTTAACTGGAGCTGACAGAATAATGCAGACATTAATGGTTAACAAACTAGGATTTTAACTTTAACCATAATCTTCTTTTCCATTTAGACATTTTAGACATTATCCTAACATCCTGGGACACAAATGACTCCTTTGTTTGTTAAATAGTTGATTGCTGGTGAAGGTTCTTTGTCATCCAGGTCTGAGTCATTCCAAACAAAAGTTAAAAACAATCCACTGGACTTTGTTTCCAAGTTTGAAGACGTTTGGTTTCGCATTTAGGAAGCTTTTTCAATTCAAAATGTCAGAAATAACGTTGAGTTCCAGGTTTTATAGAGTGGACCAATAAAACCTGGTTTTTCCTTAGAAAAGATGCAAATAGAAACGGATGGGTGGAATGGCATGTACCCGTTTTCTATACACTCTGGGTATTCTCCGCTTTTTAATCCTGTAACCAATCCTGTAACCATCCTGTAAATGAAGCTCCAATCCTCCACAATAGAAGCTCATATTTCCCCCTTTAAATGTGGGATCATAATACATAGAAAGAAATGAAGAAATCCACGATGCAGTCAAGTTTTACTGGATGTGCCTTTATTTAGCCACATGATTCAGAACTTCAGGATCATTCAGGTTCTGCTGAAAAGATCTGGATCTAAATGATGTCTTCTGTTCCTCATTCAGTAGCAGATATTTCCACAGATAGCTCGGTGCTTTAACTCCATGTGTCGCTTTAAAAGTGGCCGTGGCTGATGTACAGAGTTGTTTAAGTCCTGGTGGGAACAGTTTGCACTAAACAGTGAGTTTGCTTTGCCAAGCGCTCTGCTAAACTGGCGTCAGAAATCCCAGCCGATGAATCTGAATGGAGCAGACTGGTACTAGCAGTGGACATGCTGCTCTGTCAGGATGTTTACCGTAATAAGTGCCGTTAAATGTGACTTTTTCCAATAAAAAGTATGGTTATCGAATGTGAGCTGTGTGTCGCTCATTATCCTCAGAGGGAACGTTGCTCTCCTTCACGTTCATTACTTCAGAACTGATCGGTTCAGTTCACCGTTCAGTGAACGTCTGCAATGATTACAGCTGTATTAGCAAAATAAATTCATTTTCAATGATAATCTAATGAGTCAAACTTGCATTCTGGGCTTTGATTGTAAGGCAACTTTATATTTACACACTGTACTCCAGGGAAAACACGCATGACCTTTTCTGCCCGGCCATGTAAATAAGCACTTGTTTACATGCTGAAAATTCGGAGCTGAATGTTGCAAACAGTGTAGAAATAATTTATTTGTAGCAACAAACAATGTAGACGACACAGACTGACTTCTTCCTTCTGTCTCCCTGCAGTGGAGGGTGAGGGTCAGGGTCGCATTCTCCAGCGGTTTCCTGAGAAAGACTGGGAGGACAGCCCGTTCCCACAAGGCGTAGAACTGGTGAGTCTGTTCTGACTGTCATGTTCCTGTTACAGACGGCTTACTCCATGACCTGCAGCCGGCAGCTTTCAGTCGCTTTGGTTTTATCTAAGCCTGAAAATAATGGGGACAGTCACAGAAAAGACCTTTGCTATTGAAGAGCAATCTTTTTCATCCCTTAGGACGTCAGGTTGATACAGAATACTTTGATATAAATGTCAACAAAAAATGTCCCGACAGAAAAAAACTTACAATTATTTTACCAAGTTAACAATAGTCCTCTGATTTAAAGGGGAACTCATATGAGTTGTAAGTTTTTTTTGTTTTATAATTAATGGTAACAGTGTCACATTTAAGTTTGCATAATCTTGATAAACTATTTATTTTGGTTTTTAATGCGAATCCCTTTATTGTCCCACAATGGAGAAATTCCCTCTCTGCATTAAACCCGTTGCTTTGGGGAGCAATGTGGGGTTAGGGGTCTTGCTCAGGGACCCAGAGTCAGGCTGTGGAGAAATGATAAAAAATGAAAAAAGTCATAATTTATTATTATCTAGAGACTATTATTAACAGGAGGTGAAATGCAGCTCTAGACGAGCGTGTGGTGATGTCATCAGTACGCTTCTGTTCCAATTGACCCATATTTATGCTGTGTCCTCCCGTTCTCCCAGAGTCCAGGGGGGGGGAAATGTACAGGTGGAATAAATTTCTGTAAATAAAATTTTAATTTCAAACCTTGAACCTGTGTATTAAAACAGTCTTATTTATTTGAATACAAATGTAGACCACAAATATAGCATATAATACAGCTTTTGAAAAGTATATATTAGACATATTTTAAGGTTTACATTTCCACAATGGGTTTATATCGCACACTAGAACCATTTGAGTTTATGACATCATCACTATTCATGCGTTTCATTGGGAAAGATGTCACCCATCAAAATGACGGCCAGTGGCAGTTCTAGTGGGATCAGAATCTGGGAGTTGTAGTCTTAACTAGCATGAGGCTTCAGGGTTTCCTCTGGGACCCTCCTCTGTGGTGATGATGATGATGCCACGGGGCCAGTGGACGGCACAGACTTTGGTTCTGTTTAAGCCCAAATGGGTTCAGGTGTGGAGCCACTCCTGGCCTTTCCTGCACCAGTGCCTTCCGTCCCTTTGTCCTGGAGGTCGGGTCGGTATTATGGTGGAAAGTGGCATGGCGACCCACTTTCTGCTTCATATGTGGCATCATGGTTCTTTCAGTCGCCTGTAGCTTCCCACAGCCTGACACTCCCATCACCGTGCTTTATGTGTTTTACTGGAATGTGTTTAAATCAAAGCCACATTCAGTATCGTATTTTGACAGCATTTGAAAACATGTTGGTGAAGTTAAACCTGCCGTATAAACTTCCGGATATATAGAGCCTTTCTCAAGTATTTGCCTCTTTAAACTTTTCCACCTTTTGTGGTTTGAGATTCAAACAAAAAGGTTTAAAACGTAAATGCTTTATGAAGATCAACAAAAAGTGGGACACAATCCTGAATTGGATATTTTCAACTTTTTAACAAAATAGAAACATTCTAACAGCTGGATATGTTTATCTGTGATCTGTTCCATTGTAGATGCTGCTTTTTATTTTGGATCATCGTCTTGTTCATGCTGAAATAAACAGTTTCTAAACTAGGGATGTCCCAATTAGGGTTGTCAAAAGTATCGATACTCAAAAAAGTATCGATACTGAAACGTTGTATCCGGATACAATACTCATTTTCAAAAGTATCGATACAGCCATCGAAGGTGCAGAATAGTGGAAAATGCACTTTCAGAACACTGTGTGATTGAATAATTCTGTGCATTTTTCAGTTTCAGACTTTTTTTTAACAGGTGCAGCTGCTGAGAATTATTTTTGCTTAACTGGTTTGGCTAGTGCCATTATTATGTCTGCAAAGCATAGCCAAGGAAGGAACACTTAATTTTAATTTTGTAAGTTTTTTATCAAGCTTGCTTAATACTGGGCACAGCATACAACCTCAAAATATTATTATTGTTTTTTATTTATTTATTGTATTTTTTTAATAGTGAAAATATTTCTGTTGTATTTTAGTGTCTTTGTTTTTATCCTTGTGGTATCGAAAAGGGTATCGAGTATCGAATATTTTACTTAGTATCGGTATCGAGTTGAAAAGTTTAGTATCGTGACAACCCTAGTCCCAATACGATTCTGATATCCTATATCCGTGGATGTTGACCAAAAAAAATGAAAATATTTTATTGGCCTAATCTCTGATATTGGCAGAGATTAGGCCAGAAAATTCTGCTTCTGATTGATGTTTCTGTAAAGAAAAGCTGTAATATTTTTTATTTTTTTGCCCTTTTCGGGACAATTATCCAGATGTTTGAGAATTCTTTGAATCTGGTCGACTTTCAGCCTAATCGTGCGTTCTGTGGTTTGCTGGAGGTAACGGGGGGCGATCAGCCTCTCATGACCACCCCTGGATTAGGAATCATAAGGTTGTGAGAAAATCAAAAATGTTGGAAATTCTCTCTTCCCTCATAAGGTGTTTGTGCCGCATAAGGTGGTTTTTTGACGTACAGTGTGAGCAGGTAGATTGCATCAGAGCCTCAGGCTGTACAGTTTTAGAACAGACATGAGCGGTAAATTTTAAACCCTGCACTTTTGTAAAACAGTTTTAGCTGTAGCTGTACCATGGATATTAGGGCCAGGCTAGAGAATTATTTTATTCAATTCGAGAATAAAGTCCTAATATTATGAGAATAAAGTCCCAAAGAGAATAAAGTAATACAATAATGAGAATAAAATAGCAAAGAGAATGAAGTCATAAAAATATGCTAATTAAGTTGTAACATTACAAGAATAAAGATAACAAAAGATTAACTTTATTGTCTCAAAAGAAATTTAGACTCTGGCTGCTACTTAGTCCAAACTGCGTCACTCTGCATTCACACATTAAAACACTGCTATAAAAATTCCCTTATAAGACAATAAATAAATACATAAGGAAGAATGTTACATTACATTCACCATAAGATATTTGAAAAAAAAAATGTATAAAAAATCAAATCTGTTATGTGAGATAATAAGGACATAAAAACATGTCAGTTTAGTTTAAATTTTGATTACCATTGCTTATTCCACAATTTGCTGCTTGATGCTGTTTATTGCCTTGATGGAAAGTGGAAGAAATGAGTTCTTAGAGGGGTTCAATGTAAGGACGTGACCTAAAGGAAGAAACTGATACTCTGAACAAGTTTGGCCTTGATTGGACAGACAGGTTACCAAAGCAGGCAGAAATGCCATACCTAAAGCTGCTCTCTATGACAGCACGGTAAAAGAGCAGCATGTAGGGCTGCCGCAGTTGAGGAATTACTACCCCTGTGATTATTCAAGGAGGCTAAATATTGCAATATGCAATATTATTGCACCATCTTTTTTTTCTTTATTCTAATCTATTTATTCGCAAATGTGTTTGTATATTGTTAAATTACCAACTACATGGCAAAATATCCTTTGAAACGTGGCGCTTAAACATTAAAAAAAGGTTATTAAAAAAAGACATGGCAATTTTATAACACTTTATTGAATGCAGATCAAAGGGCAGTAATGGCACAGATATGCCTCATTTCTCCAACTGAACTTAACAAAATTCAGAAGGCTGAACCTTTGAAGGCAAATTTGTCTACAGAATCTTTCATTAAAAAAAACAAGTGCCCGTTTTGTTTTTTGTTTTTTTGTTTTTTACTTAAGTGCGGCTATACAATATTAAATGTAACAGGCACCATAATTCTTAATTCACACACAAACAAATGACGGTGATTTAAAACTCAGCCATGTCCTTGTTGAGGGCAAGTAAAAACCAGCATGTTAACCTTATGCGGTTTGAGAGGATCTGAGCCATCGGCTGGCACCGACATGAGCCGCTGCACGACTGTGTGGCAGGAGGCGGCTGTAGCCGTGCCGTAACAGTTGGGTGGTAGCTAGCTAAATGAGCCCTTACATTCGTTGTGTTTCCACAATTTACTTGAAGAGTTTTGCCACAGATTTTACAAATTTCCTCGTTTGAATTATCTGGCTCCCCCTTTTCATTTGGCTGAAAAGCGAAATGCTCCCAAAGGGGCGAAATAACATTTGGTTTTGATACCAGTGCAGCTGGTATGGTATCCCTCTCAACTGTTCTCCCAAAATGCGGTGATGGTGGTGGCTGATTTTGTAGCGCGGTGAGCTTCTTGATATCGCGATATTTAATTTGTGCGGTTATCGTGACAGTCCTAGCAGCATGACTTTCTGACTGACAACAAAGACCCTCAGCCTGCGCAGGAAATGTAGCCCATGCTGGGCAATGTTGCAGACATGCATACAATAAAGTCTTAAAGAGAATAAAGTAATAAAATTACGAGAATAAAGTTGCATTTTATGAAAACAATAAGAACTTTCTTCCCTAAAACGAGGAATTTCGAGCATCAGGTGAAGTTATACTTTAATCTGTTAAAGTATAAAACTTTAAGCAGCAGCATCAAATTGTTCAGGATGTCAAAGTGGACTCAGGTTGCTGATTGGTGGAGCCGGTTGACAGTCATATGTTGGTCGGAGCTTGAAGCTTTCTTTCTGAAATGGGCTGTGGTATGATGACATCATTCTCGTAATTTTTCAACTTTATTCTCATAATTTTATGACTTTATTTTCGTAAATGTATGACCTTATTCTCGTGAGTTACAATTTTATTCTCATAATATTGCGACTTTAGTCTCTTATTGTTATGACTTTATTCTTGTATTAAAATGTATCTCTAGCCTGGCCCTAATACTCTGTCGTAGTAGTACAATGATTGAAAATATCGTACGGTGCATGTCTGGCTTAACTCAGTGGTTAATAATAATTGGGTGTTTTAGCCTTTTCTAGCATTCCACACTACAAAATAAGTAAGAAAAGCATGTATAAATCGTGCTAATATCATTCCGGGTAAATATCGGCATGGTAACCGTAATGAAAGTGTATCTGGACTCCCCTATGCTAACCCCGCCTGGTGCGACCGTCTCTCTCTTCCTTCTAGTTCTGTCAGCCCAGTGGATGGCAGCTGGTTCCAGAGCGGCAGCCGGCCTCCTTCTTCGTCGCCGTGTTGACGGACATCAACTCGGAGCGTCACTACTGTGCCTGCTTTACTTTCTGGGAGGGCTTGGATAATCCCCAGGTGAGATTAAGGACTGTTAATCTTAGTTCCATTAGTCCCACTTATTGGTTAGCATTACACTGACAGGGAAATGTCTTGGATTCATAAATCCAGTTTTTCAAAGTGTTTAATTCATCATGTTTCTGTTCTCTGTTCAGCTGAAGAAGACTGACGCTGGTGATGCCGACGAGGCAGACGAAGAGCCGGCTGTTGTCCAACCTGCCAAAGTCTTTGCACCCAAAAGCTTGGTGGTGGTTTCTCGGCTCGATTACACAGAGGCGTTCAGGGTAGGACTACAGGTCATTTAAATCAAGCTGAACTGCTTTAACATTGCTGTGCTGACCTTTGACCTCTGTCTCCCTGCCCTGACCTTACAGAACTGTCTTGGTCTGATCTACACCGTTCATGTAGATGGCCTGCCCACCCCTTTAGAAACTGTGATTGGAAACCTTCTGACGTGTGTCATCCCCATCGCCGGAGGCTCCCAGGTATGACCAGTTCATCCCTGCTAGCTTAACGCAGCGCCGCGTCTGCTTTACTGACTGAAACGGTTCATGCCAGCATCAAGTCGGCCTGATCAAAGTTACGAGCTTTAACTTGGTTTGTTTTCCCACAAAGGTGGTTAGCTACCCTGCATGTTCTGTTGTTAGCAGGGATGTTTCAGCTGGACCGTCAACATCTATTCAGGTTATTATTAAAGGAAAAGTCCAGTCAGCAAGGAATACTCAGTGGATCATTATTGATACCTAAAATTAAAAGGTAAAGCCAGCCAGATGGCAGCAAAATCCCCTCCAACTTCCAGCCCCTGGCCTTCTCCTGGGCGTGGATATTTTTTTACTCTGACTCTGAATTACAGGGTCTGACCAGGAGATGACGTGTCTCTTTAGATCCTAATGTCCATAAATCATGACTGAAAGAAAGTTTAATTAGAAAGATTGATACTTAAAGGAGAAGTCCGGTCAGCAAGGAATAATCAATGGATCTTTATTTATACCTGAAACTAAAAGGTTTGCGGTGATTTAATGAATTTTGAGTTAAGTAATAAAAAAATTAAAACAACAATTTTCCCATTGCGATCACTGAGTCTGGGAGTGGCCATTTCTGCCCAAATATAGTAACTCCTCCCTCCTGCCATCTTCCAGCAGTGACGTCACGGTGCGGTAAGCCTAGCGCCATTCTCCCCGCTTTACAAGCTAAATCAATGGGAACTACTAGACACATCTGCAATCAACAACAATTATTGAAGATTTCCAGAGGACTTCACCATTGAAATTCACCAGAGCTATAGTGAAACTGACAATGCCCACGTGCATGGCAGCTGGATGCTGGAATACATCGGGGAAAAGTGAAAAAAAAAAAAAGAGTTTTTCCACCTTTCTGATTCCTGATCCTCCACGGACGGGTTGGTCGTTGGATCGCCAACTTGAAGAGGGAGGATTTGCCATCGAACTTCTGGCCAGAGAAAAAACCCGTAATATGTAGCCAACATTTGGAAGAAGAATGTTTTCAAGATGACTTGGATAATAGCGCGTTGTGACAAACACCAGATACAGCACTGGGACTTGATCAACAGCCGATACCGCACCGTGACGTCACAAACCAGTAGGTGGCAGTAATGTTCTTTGACAAACATGGATGCCTCCAGTAAAGAACATTCACATGAAAATTACTCTGAATTAAAAACACTGATCATTTATTGAACAGGATGGAATCATTTCACATTTAAAGGACTTGCAGAAGTTTGAATCCTGAATATGAGCGACCTTTCCTTTAATTACTATAGTAAGAAACATTGTTAATCTAACAGCCTTTATTACTAATTCATTTTAGCACGGCTTATGATTTCTGACACGTTCCAGCTGAATCCACCTGATTCTTTATTCATCCCAAAGGGAAATTAAAGGGTGAAGTAACTCAGGTTTTCTTCCATCGAGTGGTTTTAGGTGTTGAGGCACGAAGGATGTTCTGTAGCGGTCTGGGTCTGCAGAAGCCTCTGACTGACGACATTCTGATGTGTTTGAGCAATCTGATCATATGCTTATACTAAGTCCTTTGCTGATGAGAAGCTCTGAGCTGCTTCAGTACCTGAACTATGAATGGCTTTGATCAGGGATAACAGAGGTAACATGGAGCTCAGTGATCACCAAGCTGAGGTTCTAGTTACACCCAGTGGGAGGAACTGATGAGGACAATGTTATTTAAGTTGATCTATCTCCTTCTATGCTTAAAATCTGCTCTGAATGCGCACATTTTAAATGTAGGCAAGATGAGAAAATGCTCATATGTGAAGCAGCAGCTGTGTAAACTTTGTAGCAGATTCAGACCCAAAGTGAACATTATGAATAACTCTGTTTATCAATACTGACATGATCAGGTCCTATTTGCTCTGGGTTTAAAGGGAAGTACTTTCATATTGATTTCAAGACATTATTTTAATTTCGCAGGATAATTGATCCCCTCATTAAAACTACACATTTTCCATTGGCATCAACCACCAGTGCTTGTAAACCAAAGCTTTATTGTTCTTGAAATGCAAGCATCACTTTGAACGCCTCTGTTCTTCTCTGAAACTATGGTGTCTTGTTTATTTCGAAACGCCCGCGAGCGAAATAAACATACTTGCATTTATGTTAAACTATTTCTCTGCATTGTTTATCTACCACCACACAACAAAATCACACAAGCGCAAGAAACTACCGCTCTGAGAGGAGAAAATCACTCTCCGCTAGCGCTAGCTCCTCATAGGTACGCTTGGGATCGTGCTCAGGATCTTCACCGCGGGCACGCTTTTCTCTCCAGTCGTCACGCTCGAGGACGTCTGCACTCTCGAAAGCGTCTCTGCCCTCGACACGATCACACGGGAAGTAGTGTCAGGAAGCACATCTCGTCATCCATAAGTGAAGACTGCGGCTGGAGGCGGGACAGTGGCGGAGGCTTCCCAATGTTTGCGGTACATGGGGTAAATGTCAGTCAAAGGCTTCCTGACACTACTACCTGTGTCTGCAAGGCCCAATCAGAAGGTGTGATTTTTGTTGTGCAGCGGTAGATAAACCATGCGAAGAAGTAGTTTAACATACATGCAAGTATGTTTATTTTGCTCGCGGGTGTTTTGAAATAAATGTGACGCCATGTGAAGCTGTCAGAAATCCTGCAGGAGAAACAGAAAGTGCTCTCAAAGGTTTCATAGGAGCCTGGAGCCGCCTTCGGATCACATAGCGTTATCAGACACTAGAGCTGGAGATTCAGTTCATTAAGACTGAACGAATGTCCACCAGAAGGAAACCACAGGCTGACGGGACATGTCTGTCTGTACCTGTGATCATTGAAAACTGACATTTCTTATCTTAGCTGATGTTAGGGAATATTCTTTCCAATTCTGAAAAGGACTAGAATATATTACCTGTTTTTTTTGTATGTAAAATATATATATATATATATATTACTGTATGCACATAGTATAATGTTATAAGGTGTACATTTTGTTGTTTTTCTTATTTAATCTTTCTCCAGGGTCAAACAAGTGGAAGCAAAGATCCTTTTTGTCAGGATTAAAGTAATGATCTTCATTGCCAAGTCCCAAAGTTGGGAGAAAATTATTAGAAGATATAGGAAAGTCTATATAGATATAATAGTAATGGCATTACTCTTCTCAGTTTGATTTATCTTATAAAAAAGGATGCATTTCTATAGCTTTGGCACTAAAGAGTGAAAAGGCTCACTTACAGGGGCTGGACACCTAATAATGAGACCCTATCAGATAGACACCAGCTTAATGTTACACATAGTTTACTGAGTGTAGAAACAATCTGGGATGTTTTTAAGGCTCATTCTTCATTCTTTCTGACACCAGCAATGACTTCCAGCCCAGTTTGTTCCCCTCTGTACCAATTCTATGCTAAATTAAGATTAAATGTTGGAGATTAAGTCCAGTCAAAGGGCTGGAAATCTTCAGTAGTCTTCATTACAATGCAAAGCTGGCTGCTAATATCAACTGACCAGAAACCGTGAATCGAACCGTGGATTTTGTGAATCGTTCCACCCCTAATGTAGAGAAATATAGCTGTGTCTTTCTTTAGTCTGGTTTATTCTATTTAGAAACTTTGATGGTCTCTCAAATGAAGTCTTTACACCAAAGCTCTGCGCAGATCTTTTTCAGGTTATTACAGCTCTGAATCTTTAAGATTGGTGTTGCTGGATGACAGCATGTCGCCACATAAACACTTTTACATCCAGAGAACATTTATAAGTTTATATTGTTTTCATTTCTTTTCAATCTTCATTATTTTGAAGGAATTTGTTCTCCTCATTCTTCTTTTGTATTCTAAATTTAGATTATTTATTCAAGAAAACAAAAGCTGCTTTGTGTTTTTGGTGGGTTTATATAGAGTCTAAATGAGCATTTAGCGATTCTGTGTGAGCCGCTTTTGCCTTATTTCCAGATGTGGTATCAAATTGTGTTTGCGGCCCTCTCTGTACACCGGCTCCTTTGTGTTACAGATAGACGAGTCCCACGTTTGTAGTTTAGGCAAAGTTCCCCAGTCCCCGGCCTGTGATTGGCTGCTGGCCTGTCTCCAGGTAACTCTCCCTTTCAGCAAGTTTCACCAATCAGCAACCAGCTCCATGTTATCAGTTCCATCATCAAACCAATCAGTGTTTTGATTTGACTCCTTCCAAAATGCTTCCCTCTTATTTACCTAAATCCCTCCTGCTATTCTGTGTTTTGTGTTCATAACATTTCTGAAACATTTTTGCTTGTTTGGCTTTTGATCATTTTGGTTTCCTTCACAAGCCATAGATTCCCGCCCCCCCCCCCCCTTAGTCTTAAGCTATATCGCTGTATAAAATAGATCTTTCTGTATATTAGTATATTCTTCATTCGTCTACCACAGGGGTCTGCAACCTGTGGCTCTGAGAGGCTCTTTAGATGCTCTGCAAAGGCTCTTCATTTCTTGGGCTTAGTTTATAAATAGATATACTGAAAATATGAATGTTTTAGAATTTTATACACTGTCTAATTGCATAAAAGTTCCAAAAATATCAGCAATCATTTGTAAGTGTGTAAAAAAAAAAAAAAACATATTTTTCTCTCCTTTAAAAAAAGTCATGCAATGTTTCAGACTAAATAGTTTTTCTTTAAGCTGAGATGACATTACGTTTTTTTAATTCAATAAATAAATTGACTTATTTAAGAAATATATATATATATATATATATATATATATATATATATATATATATATATATATATATATATATATTTTTTTTTTTTTTTTTTTTTTTTTTTTTAAGAAGGAAAAATAAAATGTTGGGTTTAAATATGGTTTCAAAAGTTCAATTATTTACATAACTTTACAAAAGTTTTTTTTCCTTAATTTTAAAACTTAACATTTGAAATGGCACAATAGTTGTTTGAAAACGCAAATCTCCTGTGGTTGATATTTTTAAACATAAATCAATTATTCTTTTTGTGAAAAAAAACAAACAATCATTCAGTGTTTTGTGGCACTGAGTTTTATTAGTAGGTCAAAAATGGCTCTTAAAATTGTAGAGGTTGCAGACCCTAGTCTACCACCACAAGATGAAACACCAGTAATATGCCAAAATGACGAAACCGGAAATTAGCTTCAACTTATGATCAAGTTTGTTTTTCACACTGTTGAACTAAACTTTAACATCAGGAACAATAACAAAAATTAATTTCCCTTTCTTTTGTTTAACTTGTGTTGTGGATCCCTTCTCAAACTTCTGTGGTTTGGTTAAACTTTGGGCCGTTTCTCTAGATGGACCCAGTGTAGCGGAGCAGCTCAAACACAGTGAGCCTGGCTCAGTAGGTCAGCGTGGCTTCAATTCCAACTAGATCAATTCATTTGACCCCTACTTTCTATTAACCTGTTTGTAAATGTGCCTGTAGATCAGGGGTCTGCAACCTGCGGCTCTTTGGACCCTCTACAGCGGCTCCTAATTGTGACTAAAATGTATAGAAAGACCTAAATAATGTACTATAAAATAAATACCAGCCTTAAAAGCTTTATTGGTTTTTATAAGACGGATAAGAATGACATTAAAAGAACCAGAAATATGCTTTTTTCAATTCAATTCAATTCAGTTTATTTATATAGCGCCAAATTCACAACACATGTCATCTCAAGGCACTTTACAGTTCAACCAGATCATACAGTCAAATTGATACAAAGTTTTCTATCTAAGGAAAACCAGTTGATTGCATTGACTCATTGACTCAAATACAATCCCCCACACTAAGCATGCTTGTAGCGACAGTGGAGAGGAAAAACTCCCTTTTAACAGGAAGAAACCTCCAGCAGAACCAGGCTCAGTGTGAGCGGCCATCTGCCGAGGCCGACTGGGGTTCAAGGAGACAGAAGCAGAGATACAAGAAGCAGCTGTAAAAGGCGGCCCCGTCCAGGAAACACACAGCCAGGCAGACGAGCTCCAAGGCAGCTCCCATGCCAGAGGACGAAGAGAGCACATCCAGTTAGTCACAGTCAGAGAAACAGGACCACACTGGAAAACCGGCTGATCTCCAACATCTATAAACAAGGGTGTTGATGGAAGCAGCACAGCTGATGTTTCTTTCCAGGATGACGTCACAGCCAAACAGGAACAGACGAGGCAAAGCTACTCTGAGGAAAAGCAGAGAGAGCAGAAGGTTAGAGATTGAACTAACAGATTCTGCAGAATAGGAGAACAGAGAGAGAATGAAGCAGAATGATGAAATGGGGGTCCCTATGTCCTCCAAAAGTCTAAGCCTATAGCAGCATAACTATAGAGATAGCTCAGGATAACCTGAGCCACCCTAACTATAAGCTTTATCAAAAAGGAAAGTTTTAAGCCTAGCCTTAAAAGTAGACAGGGTGTCTGCCTCACGGACTAAAACTGGTAGTTGGTTCCACAGGAGAGGAGCCTGATAACTAAAAGATCTGCCTCCCATTCTACTTTTAGAAATTCTAGGAACCACTAGTAAACCTGCAGATTGAGAGCGAAGTGCTCTGTTAGGAACATAAGGAACAATCAGATCTCTGATATAAGATGGAGCTTGGCCATTTAAGGCTTTATATGTGAGAAGGAGGATTTTAAATTCTATTCTTGATTTAACAGGAAGCCAATGAAGAGAAGCCAGGATAGGCGAGATATGATCTCTCTTTTTAATTTTCATTAGAACTCTGGCTGCAGCATTTTGGATCAGCTGAAGGCTTTTAACTACAGTTTGTGGACTTCCTGATAGTAAAGAATTACAATAGTCCAGCCTTGAAGTAACAAATGCATGGACTAGTTTCTCAGCATCACCCCTGGACAGGATATTTCTAATTTTTGTAATGTTCCTCAGATGAAAGAAGGAAATTCTAGAAACCTCTTTGATGTGGGATTTAAATGACAGGTCCTGATCAAAAATAACACCAAGATTTTTTACTTTATTATCTGAAATCAGTTTAATCCCATCCAAATGAAGTGACTGGCTAATCAGTTTCTTTTTCAGAGACTCTGGTCCAAAGACTATAACTTCTGTTTTGTCTGCATTCAGGAGCAGAAAGTTAAGAGTCATCCAGGTTTTTATGTCTTCAAGACATGCCTGTAATCTATGTAATGGGTTAGCTTCATCTGGATTTATAGACAGATATAGCTGGGTATCATCAGCATAACAGTGGAAATTAATCCCATGCTGTCTAATAACTCTACCAATTGGGAGCATGTATAAAGTAAAGAGAATTGGTCCTAGCACTGATCCCTGGAGGTTTAATTACAGCAACCTTAAAAGCTTTAGGTACATATCCCTGTAACAGAGATAGATTAATCACATCTAAAATGGAGGAGGAGATCAAAGGGAATACCTCCTTAAATAACCTGGTTGGAACTGGATCTAACATACAAGTTGAAGGCTTAGATGAAGACAATAATTTTGCTAATTCAGAGAGTTCAACTGGATCAAAGCAGTCTAAACCCGGTTCAGATTCCATGACTACCTCAGGTACAATCGCGGATAGAGGAGTGCTTATGATCTTATTTTTAATAAGATCAATCTTATTTATAAAGAATCCCATAAAATCATTGCTGCTAAGAGCAGGTGGAATGGACGGTTCAACAGAGCTATGGCTCTGGGTGAGTTTGGCAACTGTATTAAAAAGAAATCTAGGATTATTCTTATTCTCCTCTATTAATGAGGAGAAGTATGCTGCTCTTGCTTTACAAAGAGTCCTCTTATACAGCAGTAAACCATTTTTCCAGACTAGGTAGGACTCTCGCAGGCCTGTGGAGCGATATTTTCTCTCCAGTTTCCTAGCATTTTGCTTCAAAGTACGCAGCTCTGCATTAAACCAAGGAGCAAGCTTTCTATTTTTAACGGTTTTCATTTTCAAAGGAGCTGCGTTGTCTAAGGCAATACGCAGAGAACTAGCAACCCCATCAACAAAATCATCAACCTGTGAAGGGGAATAAGCTAAGCTTTTGCACTCTGCAGCACTGCTCAGTGACACAGATGAGAGAGAAAGTGAAGCAGATTCTTTAAAATTTATAACTGCACTATCTGATAAAGATCTACTAAAATTGAACCTTCTTTTGGGGGAGGAGAACTCTGTTAAAGTAATCCTGAAGGTTATTGGAAAGTGGTCAGAGAGGACAGGGTTGTGAGGAAATACTGTTATTTCTTCACATTCTATGCCGTATGTCAGCACAAGATCCAAAGTATGAAGATGAGAATGTGTGGGACTATTCACATTTTGAACAAAGCCAATAGTGTCTAAGATAGCATTAAAGGCTGCTCTTAAGCTATCGCCTTCAATGTCAGCATGGATGTTAAAATCTCCCACTATGATGACCCTGTCAGTATTTAATACCAAATCAGAAAGGAACTCTGAAAACTCATCTAAAAATTCAGAGTAAGGACCTGGTGGACGATACAAAGTTACAAAAAGAAGAGGTTTTCTTGCCTTGAAATTTGGATCAGGGAAATTAAGGGTTAAATGTTCAAAAGAGTTGTAGGTATTAATTGTTTTGGGAGTAATCAGTAAGTCAGACTGGAAGATTGTTGCTACTCCTCCTCCTCGCCCAGAACTTCTGGGGATGTGAAAATTTAAATAGCTTGAAGGAGTTGCCTCATTTATGCTCACATAATCCTCTTGCTGCAGCCAGGTTTCTGTAAGGCAAAACAAGTCAATGTGATTATCACAAATCAAGTCATTAACTAGTAGACTTTTAGAGGAAAGCGATCTTATGTTAAACAGACCGCATTTAATTGTTTTAATTTTTTCCCCAATTGGAGTTATTTTGATTTTAATTAGATTATCATGATTTACTCCTTTGGGAATCTTTGCTAATTTATTAGATTTTGGTCGTGGGCAAGACACTGTCTGAATGGAGTAAAGAGTGGGTAACAGTAGAGAAGCTGCAGAGATGTGTGTTAAACTACAACTCTGCTTCCTGGTCTGCACCCTGGGTGGTCAGGGTTTTGGAGGACTAATAAATGTGGCCAGATTCCTAGAAAGAAGAGCTGCACCATCCAAAGTGGGATGGATGCCGTCTCTCCGAATCAGACCAGGCTTTCCCCAAAAGGATTGCCAATTACTAATGTAGCCCACGTTGTTTTCAGGACACCACCTAGACAACCAGCGGTTGAATGACGACATGCGGCTAAACATGTCATCACTGGTCAGATCAGGGAGGGGACCAGAGAAAATTACGGAGTCCGACATTTTTTTGGCAAACTTACACACCGAAGCCACACTAATTTTAGTGACCTCCGATCGGCGTAACCGGGTGTCATTACCACCAGCGTAAATAACAATCTTACTGTATTTAACCTTATCCTTAGCCAGTAGTTTCAGGTAGGATTTGATGTCGCCCGTTCTGGCCCCCGGCAAACATTTGACTATGGTCCCTGGTGTCTCTAATGCCACGTTTCTGACTATGGAGCTGCCAATCACCAGAGTGGGCTTCTCAGTGGGTGTGTCACTGAGTGGGGAAAACCGGTTAGAAACGTGAACGGGTTGGTGGTGACCAGTGGGCAGAGATCCACGACTACGCTTTCTGCGTACAGTTACCCAATCGCCTGGCTGCTCAGGCACTTTTGGAGGACAGCTACGTGGGGGGCCTACTTCAACAGCCTGAAGCCTGGATTCTAACTCTGACACCCTCGCCTCCAAAGCTACAAAAATACTACACTTATTACACATCCCATTATCACTAAAGGAGGCAGAGGAATAACTGAACATCTGACACAGAGAGCAGGAGAGAGGAGAGGAAGAAGGAAGAGTTGGAAAAGAGTCAAGGGAGGGAGAGAGAGAAGCCATAGCAATGCTAAGCTAGCGCTAGCCTAGGCTAGCTACTCCTTGCTATCAGAAATAAAACAGTGTGAAACTGACAAGTGCTCAGTAGAAAAGTGCAGCAGAAGGTGCTATGTTTTAAAGTAGTCAGTTAGAGTTAGGCTACTTAGATACAGAGATATCACAGAGAAAATAACTTAACTTCAGATGGAGATCCTCTGAACAGCTGCACACTCAGTTAATCCAAACAGGAAGTGACATTTTAAGTGACAAGTTTAGAGACATTTTTCTTTTAATTAGCTCAGAATTTATGTTTTAATATTATTTCAAAAGCTAGAAATACATAAATTGTTGGTTGTTTAAGATGACAACTAATTGCCTAAAAGAGATCAAATTTGGTTGTTTTTTGAAAAAGTCCTACTTTGCGGCTCTAGTCAACATTTACTTGGTCAGACTCAGGGCAAAATTGCTCTGTGATTATGAAAGGTTGCAGACTCCTGCTGAAGATAAACCTGTAAAATGTTTTTTGTGTTTTTTTTTGTGAATCTACAAAGGCCAATAAAAATGGCATCCAATCAAGCGTGGTCCGTGCGTTTATCGTTTAGTGAATGAATTGGTCGGAGACTTAGTTGAATTCTCCACACCTGAGAGGCTTTATTTCTGCACATGCTTTGACTTCGGCAGAATTTTCTGTCATCATGAAGTCAATGTTTTCATGATGAAGCTGCTTTACACCGCCCTACCACTCTCCAGTCTTCAAACATGTAGGCTTTATAATGTCTTCAGGCCTTTTCAGACTTTTATTGCTGTTAAGAAAGTTTAAAATGTGAACTTTCTAAGATGAGTCCATATTAGAGGCCAATTAGCTCACTGTAACACTTACAGGAAAGTAGGAACTGTAAAAAAAAAAAAAAAGTTTAATGAAACAAATAACTTGTGTTTTCACACTATAAGGCTATTGGCTTTCAGATGAGTGGAAGTTTATGTAAAGCCTGGCGTACGCTGTACGATTTCTTTTGTCCTTTTTCGGGCTGATTTTCCAGTTTTACAAGAATTTTCCGATCCGGTCTTTAGCCTAATGGTGCGTCTTGCGTCACGTACATACAGTCATGGCCAGAAGTTTGGAGAATGATTCCAATGTTAATATTTACAAAGTATACTGCTTCAGTTTTTATAACGGCAATTTGCATATAATCCAGAATGTTATAAAGAGTGATCAGCGTAACAGTAATTAATTTGCAAAGTCAATATTTGCTCTCTCACAGTCTGACCTAAAAACACAGCCATGAATAAAGAATGGTACCAGAATGTCCCCCCAGAGCAACTTCTCCCAGCCGTCCAAGAGTAGTTTGGTGATGAACAATGCCTTTTCCAGCATGATGGAGCACCTCGCCATAAAGCAAAGCTGATATCTAACTGGCTCAGGGAACAAAACAGAGAGATGTTGGGTCCATGGCCTGGAAACTCCCCTGATCTTAATCCTATCGGAAACTTGTGGTCAATCATGAAGAGACGGGCGGACAAACGAAAACCTAGGAATTCTGACACAATGCTAAGCATTGATTGTGCAAGAATGGACTGCTATCAGTCAGGATTTGGTCCAGAAGTTGATTGAGAGCATGACAGGGAGAATTGCAGAGGTCCTGAAGAAGAGGGGTCAACACTGCCAATATTGACTTGCTGCATTAACTCATTCTAACTGTCAATAAAAGCTTCTGTTACTCATAATATGATTGCAATTGTATTTCTGTATGCAATGACAACATCTGACACACATTCATGAAAACCAGAGGGCAGCAGATCATGTGAAAATATAATATTTGTGTCATTCTCAATACTTTTGGCCATGACTGTAGGGGTTAACGAGGGCCGATCAGCCTCTCATGACCTCCTCCCCATCAGGAATCGTAAGGTCGGGAGAAAATCAAAGATGTTTGAAATTCAGTCAGCAGGCGTGAAGTGATGGTAGACAAATCCTGCTTTTGAAGCAGAGCTACAAGCCCATTTGTCTGAACCTCAAGGCACTGCGCATACGCATACAAGGGAGTTCTTCTTCTTCTCCTTCCAGATTGAGGAGTCCGACCAGCGCCATCTCTCGGTGCTCAGTCTGACGTGTGGTTTTTGGACGTGCAGTGTGAGCAGGTAGATCGCATTAGAGCTTCGAGCCGCAAAGTTTAAGAACAGACATTGGAAGCTGTGAACTTTCAAACCCTCCCGATTCGTCGTACAGTTTGAGCTGCAGCTGAATGCAACGATTGAAAATATCACTGTGTATGCCCAGGTTTAACTATTCATTGAGGAGGGACTGACATCTGGGTGACTGGGCTACGGATGGCAAAGAGTTTGAGAGGTTTCCCAGTTAGTTCTCTGGAGAGAGGTCAGCAGCCTATTTATCAGAACTGATACAAACCTTTGACCGACGTTTGCCTCCTGCTCTGACTGACCGGTTCAACGAAGCAGGAGGTCATTGTACTGGAGGTCATCTGCTCTCAGCGGGACGCAAAACTTGGAAACCTTTTTTGTTTTCTGGTTGCATAAATAACTCTAGAACATCTGCAATGTTTTCAAATGATTATTGCTTTAATTTTGTAAAAAGATAATTCATTACATCCTGACTTCACTGTATGTGTTTAGAGGAAGTAAAGCTGACCATATTCCCATTTTTTGTGCTGCCAAAATGCCAAACATTTGTTTTGCATGCGTGTCGATTTTTGCCCATGTTAAGTGGTTTAATGTGATGTGTTGCCATGCTGATACCTGCTATCCTGTGCAGTCTTCTCTAACATGCCTTATCCTGATGTGTTTGTATTGAATGCTGGTGCAGCCGGGTCCAGACCAGAGTGAGGACAGTTTGGTACGCCGGCCTGACTTCAAATCCACACCCTCTCTATATCAGTCAGCTTCTTTTTATTTTCCCACCTTCTCCTTTCAGCTGCTACGGGAGGACTAATTGAGATGCTTTGTCTGTGAACAACACCTGATCTTACCTTCAGGAAGAGCACGAGCTTAACAACTGATCCTAGATCTGTTTTTAATGTGGAGATGAAATAATTAGGGTTTGGTTTTACATCATAGCTGTTTAAAATACTGATACTGTAGAAGAGGACTCCTTTTATCAGAAACAACTAAAACTAATACGCAGATCAGTGGGCCTAGGCAGATGGGATCCATACATTTCTTTCAATAACTCAGTTTAGGAGGCTGCCATTCGGCTGGAGTTTTGACTAGGAAGGATGTTTTGAATGGCTGCTACTGTAGATATGTTTTAAAAATATTACCACCATCATTGGACCATGAACAAGTAAATAGTCCCTCTTGGGAGATGTGGAGAAGCATGTTGCAAAAAGTGGTGTCTTCTATATGTAGTCTGATGTTGGAAGCTTGCAGTCGTTGCCCCCTAGACTCGACCAGAATGTTCAGAAAACAGTCTAATGAAATTAAATAATGAAAAGTAGCTCAAAATGAAACAAAACTACTTAGTCTATCTTTTAAATGTAAGGAGGAGTGAAATTTAGAAGTAAAAAGTAAAAAAAAAAAACGTTACTCCAGTGAAGTATAGATAGCCAGAATTTCTACTTAAGTAAAGGAACGATGTACCTTGTTACGTGACACCTCTGGGTATTATAGATGCATTTATATATATATATATATATATATATATATATATATATATATATATATGCATAGACAGGCCTTTATACATACGTCTACAAACAGGTTCTAGTTCTCACAGCTGAGGTGTTTCTACAATATAAAGTTCAAACCTCTCCATTCTCTGCAAGTCAGCTCGTTGACTATTGCTATTTACGTAAAGCAATGCAGCAATAAACGGCTCCTGATGATCAGATGTTGGCTCACAGGACTGAATGGCTGGTCTGACCCTCCTAATGATCACAGCTAAAGTGCATGAGGTGTTTTCTGGAGAGCCTCCTGTGCTGAATGAATGAATGAATGAATGAATGAATGAATGAATGAATGAAGTTCTGTCTCGCTCTGATGGGTAACTCCTTCTGTCACTGATTCTCCATCCTTAATCATTTATGCTATGTCCACACTGCAGACCTTAATTCTCAATTCCGATGTTTTTGTGAAATCTGATTTATTTTCTTGCGTGCTTTACACATTTCTAAATGTATGCAAATTGTATGTGATCTTCTGTGTGAGCTGCATTTATACAAAGCAAGTGTCCGGCATGCGCAGTAGAGGACGTAATGACGTCACAAGCCAATTTGCTCTGTGTTTATGGAAGTAAATATGGATGGTAGCGCTGGACTGCATCTAGCGATCATTCCCAACCCTAAAAGCACAATCTTTACAATATAAGTACTGCTCTACGCATAATCGTCCACCATGGTTGTTGGATTCTGTTGCTGCTTCTGCGTAGCAAGACGCATAATAGTGACCTTTGTCGGGTGTTAACGGCATAGAGGTCGGATTAAGATGACCTGGCCGTTCACACACAGTTAGGATTTGAAAAGATCAGATTCGCACCAGATTCAGGGAAAACTTAGGCTGCGTTCACACAGCAGCCTGAACTAGGGCTGCAACTAACGATTATTTTAAAAATCGATGAATCGGACGATTATTTTTTCGATTAATCGATGAGTCGGACAAAAAATATTTTTTATATTAACCTCTTTATTCCAAAATAAACATTTTAGACAGAACAAACAAGCACACAAGTACAGGTTGCCCATTAACTGTACTGGTGCAATATGAAAAATAAATGTTTGTGTTAAAACTACGCAAACTTACATGAGAAATGTAGCTGTACATCCACAAAATATAGGCTACTTTGTTTCATAAGGCGCAAAAAATAAATTTTTGTTTTTAAAAGCCCCTAAGGGGTTCAAACAATAGGCCCCCCCATTTCAACAAATGAGGTTTTTTAGACTAGAAGAGTTCTGCCTTTTAAGACAGGAAAGTATAGCAGTTAAAGTTGCTGCTTGAGAAAATACTGAACCATAGAGATAAAATAGCCCTGTGATTCAAATTATAAATTGTATTTGGAATAAAAATGAGAGAACTAGGGGTGTTAAAAAACACATCCTCCAAAGACAGATATTTACATGGGAATGTGGCATATATGTGGCATATATAATTGACATATTACTGATCTTGCTGGATTTTATTCTGCTTTACTTCCATAAATTGCAGGATCTTCTTTACTTTATCTTTGCCAGAAGATTTAAACTTTAAAAGCCTTGCCCTCATAATTTGCAAGTTAATTAATTTATAAAGTAAATGTAAACGCTGCTTAAGCTAATTCAAATGAAATTAAAAGTAAAATAAGTAGCCAACCTTATCACTGTCTGTAACCTACTAACACGGTAAGGAAAGCATCAGATGAGCTACCTGAGAAACTAACGTAACGTTTCCCCACTTTAAAACGAAACAAACATGGTGGTTCCGTGCCATGTTAATTTCTTTTGAAAAAAGTTGCATGTTATCACTTTTTTCGCTTTACAAAGCGCAGGCTATTTTAATTATTGTGATCAATTTGCGCCGTCAATCCCGGTGCATTCGCGCTTCATTTGCAGTCTGGACGCTGGCTCTGACTGCAGCGCTGAGAGGGACTCCTGCGGGAAAACGCGGTTGGGGTGGGGGAGGCGCCCCACGGCAGAGTAGGAACGATACATGCTTTCACGTAAGAGTCTCCAAAAGCCGCCAGTGACACCGAAAAAAGTCGCCAGATTTGTCGCTAGTCGCTTTTTTGAAAAATAGTCGCTGGAGGGGTCTGAAAAGTAGCTGATTTGGCAACACTGCGCCTGCAGCGCTGACTCGCTCTGCCATATTTTTTTTTCTTCCTCTTTCAGTCAAGAGGCAGTGATGACGGCGCGGCGGATGACGCAATAATCGCGCGACACAACTAATCGATGATGAAATTCGTTGCCAACGCTTTTAAAAGTCGATTTTTATCGATTTTATCGATTCGTTGTTGCAGCCCTAGCCTGAAGTCAACCAAATCCGATTTATTTGCCTATATGCAACCTGCATCATCTTTTTATGACAGTCTGAACAACACAGATCCGATTTTTTCCCAATGTGACCCAGCCCACTTGGACCTGTGGTTCTGAATCCGATACGAATCTGATCGTTTCTAATGCGATTTGTGGCTGAACAGCCAGGTCGCATTCATCCCACCTGTACGCCATTAATACCCGACAAAGGTCACTATTCTGGGTCTCGCTACGCAGAAGCGTCAAGACAAACCAACAACCATGGCGGACGTTTATGCAGAGAGCAGTCTTTATTTTCAACCATCATGGAAGGATTGTGCATTTAAGGTTGGGAAAGATGGCTAGATGCACTCAAGCACTACCATCCATGTTTACTTCCATGAACACAGAGCACGCTGGCTTGTGATGTCATTACATCCTCTACTGTGCATGCGGGACACTGAAGCTGTGTGAATGCAGTTCACACAGGACATCCACAACATGCGGGACATTGGGTCCTGAGGACGAGGAGTGAAACTCTGATCAGTCCCTTTTCCTCCAGTAGAAAGTTCTCAGCACATGTCATCTGCAATGTTTTAGGATTTCCATTGTCCCAGAAAGCCTTTGTTCTCGTGCTGCTGGTGTATTTTTCCTGTGAGGTCGCTGGCATGAGGACTTCTGCAGCCTAATTCACTGATCAGCTGGAATGGCTTTGGTTTTATTTGCCATCTACCTGCTAAGCTTCGGTGATTCTCTATCTCTGTCCCCGAACTCACGCCATTTTCTAGCTGCATTCCGATTAAACCCAACCACATTTGTTTGGTCTTTTTACTGTTTTAATCCTGTTTCCTCTCCTCTTTCTTTGTCTGTAGAGGACGATAACATTAGGTGCTGGAGACCGGCAAGTTATCCAGACGCCCATCAATGATGCCCTTCCTGTCAGCGGCAGCAGCGTGGCCCAGCTCTTTAGGCAGCTCGGTATGAACTCTTCTCACATAAGTAAATGAAGTTTGGTTGTTTTATAAAGCAGACCAACAGCTGAACACAGGTGGACTTTTTATGTTTTATAAACCCTTTAAAGGCCTCTGCTTTAAAGCTTATTGGTTAATAGAAACCTATATAGAGAGCTAACAGAACTGGCAGCGTTGCGAGGCGAGGGCTCAAACATGTACGGCTGGAAGCCTTCTACACCAAACCAAGCTTCTGCCGCCCTGGCGTCCTCTTCCACAACATCTTCGTCCCCGCTTTCCTCCTCTAAATAAAAAATGGATGACGGAGGAGACTCATCCACGACCTCCGACACTAAACTCTCCTCCTCTTGCATGTTTCCGCTGTCCATAGCGTTCCTTGACAGCGTCGTTTCTAAGTCACCAATTTAGTGCTACTTGGTCCAAATGGAATTTCCCATTGGGAACCTACTAGCACTAAGATGCTAACTGGTTAGCAAGATGCTTCTGAAAAAAAAAACGCCACAACCAAACGTGCTTGCGAACAATCAAGCCACAACAATCCCGCCCCCTTGATAAACGACCATATTCACTTCATTCACTCGTGTAAAGTCGGGCAGCACTCAGGAGAATTCAGAAATGCAACGGTTGGAACGGCCGTAAAGTCTCCTTAAAGGAATAGTACACCCAAAACATGATTAGCCTTCATTTTCTACTCACCCCCATGCTGAACAAAAGTCTGGAGTACTTTTTTGATATCTCAAATGCATCTGGAGATCTGGGAGGCTTCTTGCTGTCTGCTGACATTCAAATAATGGAGGTCCATGGCGCCCGAGACAGAAAGGTCCACAAAAGTCCACAAAAACGTGTCAATATTCCTCCATACTGCTCGTCCAATGTAATCCAAGTGTCCTGAGTGGGTAGCATCCAGAATTTACTCGAAACGAAGTCATTTAGAAAGTTTTAGAGCCTAAACAGTAGTGTATAGGATTTCCTAATAGCGCCCCCATGCGCGCTCACGATTCTACGGAAGCCGGCAGACCAGACCAGATGAAAGTGCGCATTCAGCGTCTGCTCTGCCGATAATGCAAGCGTAGAAGAAGAAATGTGCTGTTTACCTGTGCAAAGAAAGAAACAACGAAAGAAAAATGTCTGAGGACTTCAGTGTTGAGGAAGAGCATGAGTTCTTTGCCGAGCTGAATGCGCTGGTTTGGCTTCCGTAGAATCGTGAGCGCGCATGGGGGCGCTATTAGGAAATCCTATACACTACTGTTTAGGCTCTAAAACGTTCTAAATGACTTCGTTTCGAGTAAAATCTGGATGCTACAAACTCAGGACACTTGGATTACATTGGACGAGCAGTATGGAGGAATATTGACACGTTTTTGTGGACTTTTGTGGACCTTTCTGTCTCGGGCGCCATAGACCTCCATTATTTGAATGTCAGCAGACAGCAAGAAGCCTCCCAGATCTCCAGATGCGTTTGAGATATCAAAAAAGTACTCCAGAGTGTTGTTCAGCATGGGGGTGAGTAGAAAATGAAGGCTAATCATGTTTTGGGTGTACTATTCCTTTAAAGGAACCGTTGGCTATCCAGTTATTTATCAGTTAATAAAAAAAAGTAATTGACAAATTAATTGATTTGCAAAATATCAGTGGTTGCAGCCCTACATATATAGTTTATAATATGTCTAGAAAATATTGGGCTTGGTGCCATTGAGTTGCATCATCTCAGTGTTCCTTAGCAACCAGCATCAGTCCACCAGATCAGCTGTGATCCTCAGTCTGTCCTCAAGAGCCATCTTCATCTTTCCTTCAAAGCAGTTTTACTGGTTGAAAACAATCGCGTCAGAATCCTGACGACCGGATTGGTTTAATCAGCTGATTTTAGTTTTATATTGTCTGTCAGCTTCACTCCTAGGAGCAAAACAGTTCTGAAAATTAGTAAAATGTCTTAAAATTAAATGAATTTACCCTTAAATTGAGTAGGAAAATAAGATTATCTGCCAATTGAATTAATATTTTTACCCTTACAATAAGATGATTAGATATTATGCAGCTGAAATAAGAATCTGCAGTTCTATTTTTCTTTTTTACATGTTAGTCGTCTTGTTCCTTTGGCAGTGTGTCTCATTTACCTGCTTAATTAAAGAGAAAATGCACTAAATTTAAGAACAATTGGCTTTCTTAGATTTACATTTTTGTAGTGTGGCAGGACTTCTTTCCACAGCAGAAAGAGGAAAATATCACAGCTTGTTTCATTTAACCAGTCTTCCAAAGATTACTCATAATCCTTGACGTGAGTTCCATTAAACCGCCTCCTCTGTGTTTTATCAACATTTCAGAATCTTCTAAAGCACAGGAGAAATCACAGTAACTAGGAAAAACTGTAACCCAAATGATTTTTGGTTTGAAAGTGATTTAAATACAACAGTTTTCTTTATCATAGTGCTCTCAGTTAATTAGTTTGATCACTTGAAGTTTCTATCTGGTTTGTAAATTCTATTTTTTCTCCTGTCATGACATTTTCTTTGTTTTTCCCTCAGGTATAGTCAACGTGTTGTATCTGTTTTGTGCCGCGTTGACGGAGCACAAAATCCTGTTTCTGTCCAGCAGCTACCAGAGGCTAACGGACGCCTGCCGAGGGCTGCTAGCCATCATGTTCCCGCTCAAATACAGGTGTCCTCTCACTTCCTAAAGCCACTGCTGCATTACATGCTCCCACTATCTACGATCCTGTGTACACTAACATTGAAATGTACAGAGTCAGTAACTTTCTCCCCAGAAGTAGAAAGAGGCTAAAAGCAAAGGGTAAAATATGGGTGGGAGGGAAGGGTAATACTATTCTGATGACATCATAACAGATCATAAGATCATAATAGATTCCCATAAGAGCTTAGGCTCCACTTGTTTTTCAAAAACAACCCCGTCAAACTCAGCTTAAACCTCACATTTCAGTGACGATGTCTGCATTTTTCCAAACCCTTTTAGAAGTTAAAACTACAGCTACTTCTAAAAGTACAGTGTTTCTCTCTAAATATAACAAGTTGCTTCTCCCCTGCGCTATCCTAATGTGGAGTAGATGGGAGTTATTGGAGACGATGAACAAGCATGGCTAGGAAGTAAATGAAGTACAGTATGCTGGTGAACATTCTCAGTCATCCAGGTCATAGTCACTCCAAAAAAAAGTTTAAAAAAAAAACAATCCACTGGACTTAGTTTCCAAGTTTGAAGACTTTTCTCTTCTCCAACATCAAGTTCACCAGGGAGGATGCCAACAGCAACAAGCTACCTTCCATGCACTGTTGGTGAGCGTGGAAGGAGATGGAAACCTCAGCATTGAAGTGTATAGGAAACCCACTCACACTGACCAATATCTATGTTTTGACTTACAACACCCACTGGAACACAATCATCATCTGAACCTTACAACACCGGGCCAAGCATGTCACTACGCCTAAAACAGAAAGGAAAGCAGAAAGAACATCAAAGATGCTCTCCAAACCTCTGGAGACCCAAACTGGGCATTTGTCAGATCAGCAAGGAAATCCCAAAGACGCGCAGCAGAACATAATGGTTGGAAAATTAAAAAACATTGTCATTCCATATGATGCAGGAGTCTTAGAAAAACTCAAGTATTTCCTCCAAACGTAAAATCCCAGAACATTTCAAACCAAACAGGACCCTTAGACAGAGGCTAGTGCATCCTAAGGACCAAACACCCAGACCACATCTGAGCGCAGTGGTGTCTGCAGTTCAGTGCAGTGAGGAATGTTCTGATCTTTATAGTGGAGAAACCGAACAACCTCTCCACAGACGCATGGCCCAACACAGAAGAGCGCCCTCCTCTGGACAAGTCTGCGCTAAATTTATGCCTTATGGACAAAGACATTCTTTGGAGGACAAGAATGTTCATTTTCGACAAAGAAGACAGGTGGTTTGAGAGAGACGTGAAGGAAGCCATTTATGTTAGGAAAGAAAAAACAACTTTAAACGGGGGGGGGGGGACTCAGGTTACAGCTTTCAAAAACCTCCAATTCAGCGATAGAGTTCATTCCTTCCGGCTATCATCGCAGCCCCAACTCCTTTACAGGAGAACAGAAGACCTCGCCTCTTCAGCCAGGCCAACTATTCCCTCTAACTTTCCCTTTCAGAGACATAGACAGGTATGGGGCATTGCAGGCTAACAAAAGAAGCCAAATGACCCCCATTCCTAAGGGGTGGACCTGTTTGTTTATTTCTATTTGCATGTTTTCTAAACAAAAACAAGGTTTTATTGGGCTGCTGGATAAAACCTGGAACTCAACGCTATTTCTGACATTTAGAATTGACAAAAATTCCTGGATGGAAGAGAAACGTCTTCAAACTTGGAATCAAAGTCCCGTGGATTGTTTTTTTTACTTTTTTGGAATGACTATGACCTAAATGATTCTCTATTCTCTATTTGATTCATTTAACCAGTTTTTAATGCTGGATGGGTTTTTTTGGTTGTTTTTTTTCGCTGTATCATACTTACAGTGGTAGAGATGTATTGCAGTTTGAACTTGTGTTTTCTGTTGAGCATTGCTGATAAAAAGACCCCAATGATTCTTTTAAAACAAATCATGGAATTATGATAAATCATTATTCAGCATTGACAGCTGATTTACTTTAATCTCACTTTCTCTAAACAGAATTACACATTTAGATTTCTTAGGGAATAAATATTTAACCTCGTTCACAAAGTTTTACCTCCGTTATGAGGATTTTTCTCCATATCAAGTGGAAGTTTTCATGAAGTTTATGCTTAGAACAATCCTTTTATTTTCAGAATTAACTCTGTTTAAGAAAACTCTTGTATCCGATCATTGTTTTTCCAAATTAAAAGAAAGTGTTGAGGTTTTTTAGGGGTGTTGCTGATGGCAAGAAAAAATTCCAGCCTTTAACCGTCACTCTGCCTGAACATTACAGCTGTTTTTCTTCTCTTCTAGTTTTACCTACGTTCCAATTCTACCTGGGAAGCTCCTGGAGGTCCTGAGCACCCCCACCCCCTTCATTATCGGAGTGAATTCATTCTTCCGTTCAGAGACACAAGAACTGGTGAGTTTTATCACTGAAACCTAAGAGACATGGCTGCTCTAAAGGACACTGAAAGAGTAAAAAACTAAAGTTATGTAGGTGCAGATCAAATTAAATTTTTTTTTTTTATCTGTATTTTTGCTTTAAAAAAAAGTCTGATAATTTTATAAAGTGAAGATCTAAACAACATTTAAACCTGACTTGCATCAGTCTCTTTTCCCAATGCTGATCGCTGATCACCCTACGCTGAAATTTCACTCATCAACATGCTTAATACAAATATCCCAAAGTGGTTCAATCTAAAAAGTGTTAATCTTCGTTGGAACAGACAAAGCTTCTGCATAGTGCAGTAAAACTCTTCTGTAATTCTGAAACCTGTTTTTGGATTTTTGCAGCACGTATAATTCTCTGTATTTGTTCATCCAAACGTCAATCTTTATATGTCCCTTTCAACTCTAGGGAAACATTTGTGTGTTTTTATTTTTGAAGTTTAATCCATTAAGACGACTACATCACACTCTCCAAAGGATATACATCCTAAAGAGCCATTTTTTAATGATCAGCTTCAAAGTTTTTAGAACTTGCTCCTGATTAAACTTTTCCAGCGCTGCAGTTCTCTTTGATTTTAATCTTTAGTTTGAATTGTAGTAAAAAGAGGTTCTTAACATTCTAGAAAGACTGAATCTACACGATGCCTGTGTTTAATGTGTGTCAGCTGACAACTCAGACCAGCTTAACATGAAAATTAGATTAATCTTCTGTCATTATATGGACAGCTTAGGGGACAAACCTAGCTAACAAAAATGTTAACATTTATTTTATTATTGCCATTTTAAATATATAACTACATGTTTAATTGTATATTTCATCATTTAATGGTACATTGAATTATGTACCGTTAAATTATGGTTTATCATTGTTTTTTTTTTACATTTATTTTGTTCTGCATTTCATTATTTATGGTACATTAAATTGTTCACGGGGACATGGGATCCTACACATGTTCACTTTAAGAATTCATTGATAAAATATGTTTATATGAAAGATGTTTGGATGTTAGATTCCTCTTCTCGGTGAGATTTCTCCCGTTTTTCACTGCTATCGTGTTTGGAGGCTGTCGGCTCTGCAGACGTCCTCTCGGCATCTTATATTAGAAATCTGCTAACAGGAAATGCTTTCTTTTTCTTCACTTATTGTCGGCTGTTCAGATTCATCATCTGATGCTGCTCCACCTGTACAGTGATGTAAAAGTGTGTGTGTGTGATTTCAGTTGGACGTGATCATCGCTGACCTTGATGGAGGCACCGTCACCATCCCTGAATGTGTCCACATCTCTCTGCTGCCTGAACCTCTGCTGCAGCAGACCCAGACCGCCCTGTCCATGGTGAGAGCTGCAGTCTGAGCTCGCCTCACAGCCACATCATTTTATAGCACACTAATGACTGGGAGGAAACCTCTGAGATGGTGGTGGGAGGTTTTACCAACAGAGATCACTGACCGTTCTTCCTCGTATGACTTGGCAGAATCTAGTTCAGTTTTACAGCCATCATTTTTTCTTTGAGGCCAATAACCAGTGGAAAAACCAGTTGTGACCAAAAACAAGCGTCTTCCTCTAAAGACTGATGCTGTTCGGGGAAACCGAGCCATTAGGAGGAGGTTTAAGATTAATTACATTTTGTAAATTCTCCAACTGACTAGTGAAACAATTAAGGTTTTTAGTTTTCAGACTTTAATGATTTATACATTTTACCAAACATGATTAAATAGGGATAGTTGACAAGTTTCATTTCAGAGACTTTATTCTAGCAGACCTTGGATCCGAAGCTCAGCCGTCAGCTGATGGTATAAAAAGATGCAAATTATTCCACAGCTTCATGACTCCCAGAGTAATTTCAACTCAGTTTATTTCTATAGCTCCAGTTCACAACATGTCATCTAAAGGCTCTTTACAATTCAACCAGATCATCCAGTCAGATTGATTCAAAGTTTTCTATCAAAGGAAAACCAGCTGATTGCATCGACTCATTGACTCTTCAGCAATCCCTCACACTAAGCATGCTTGTAGCGACAGTGGAGAAGAAAAACTCAGTTTTAACAGGAAGAAACCTCCAGCAGAACCAGGCTCAGTGTGAGCGGCCATCTGCTGAGGCCGACTGGGGATCAAGGAGACAGAAGCAGACATAGAAAAAGAAGCATGGATACAAACAAATCAACTGTAAAAGGTTGCGCCATCCAGGAAACACACAGCCAGGCAGAAGAGCTCTGAGCCAGCTCCCATGTCAGAGGATCAAGAGAGCACATCCAGTCAGTCACACTCAGAGAAACAGAACTACACTGGGAAAACAGGCCAAGCTCCAGCATCTATAAACAAAGGTGTTGATGGCAGCAGCACAGCTGATATTTCTCTCCAGATGAAGCTACTATGAGAAAAAGCAGAGAGAGCAGAACGTTAGAGATTGAACTAACAGATTCTGCAGAGTAGGAGAATAGAGATAGAATGATGAAAAAGGGGTCCCTATGTCCTCCAGCAGTCTAAGCCTATAGCAGCGTAACTATAGAGATAGCTCAGGATAACCTGAGCCACTCAAACTATAAGCTTTATCAAAAGGGAAAGTTTTAAGCCTAGCCTTAAAAGTAGACAGGGTGTCTGCCTCACGGACTAAAACTTAGTAAGGGGACTAAAAACTCCACTGGAGTTTTTCTAAAACTTACAGAATCAGGCTTTTCCTGGACGCTTCCCTTCAAGGTTCAACCTGCAGATTAATATTCTGACAGATGTGTTTTTTTTTTTCAGGACTATGTAAAGATACGATATTTTTTCATAGATATGTTGGCATTCTCTACACATCGTAACTTTAATTTGTTTACATTTCCTTATAATGAATAACTATTGTTTATGAGCTTTGATTTTGCCGTCTCTATATTTTCTCTATTATAAGATTGGATCTTAATCTAAAAGCCTTATCTTTGCAGCTTCTTATCTTTATCTCCTATAAAGCAGCTGCAGCCCATTCTGAGAATCACTCTGCAGCTTCCTTATTCCTCTGATATTACAGAATTCAGACTTTTCTCCTGTTTCCTCTTCTTAGTAAATGTGTGTTTGATAAGAAATATTGAATTAGTCATGAGGCATTGCTTTCACCCTGTGCAGCAACATCCCGTCAGTGGTTAATGTCAGCGTGCTGGAAATGCTGTTAGGTTTTTATGATCTATTGTTTTTGTGTTGACAGAGGGATAACCAGTAGAATATGAAAGAAATGCTTTGGCTTTGATATGCTTACAGCAACAGTTTATTACATAATGGTCAGCCAGCTCAGTTACTCTAGAGTTATATCATCTCAATAAAGGGATGGACTTCTCCTCTTTTATGGTTCTTTGTCTGGAATAACAAAAAGTGGCCGTTTTCTAACAATGAACCCATAAAGGTTTTTATTACCAGAATATAATGTGGCAGGTTCTTATAAAACCAATCATGGCAAATTTTCAGCGGTTTTCCGTCACTCTGCACCTGATGGACTGATGCTTTACTGTATGAACCCCATGTACAGTAGCAGCCAATCAAAATGCCCGTCCCAGTCAAAAGCAGCAATATCCCCTCCAACTTCCAGTCACTGGCCTTCTCACAAAGATTGACACTTAAAGGAAAAGTCCGGTCAGCAAAGAATAATCAATGGATCATTATTTATATCTAAAACTAACTAAGGGTGTGGTGATGTCATGAATACGCTTCTGTTCCACACTTTCCTGTGTTCTTCTCAAGAACATACTTGGCGAGGACACGGTTTCATTTTCACGTTCTTGGGAATTGAGAAACAACCATAGTCTTATTTCCAGTTTTATATTTCCAGGACTTATGTCACAGTTTGGGCCGATTAAAGCCTTTCTGGCACAACGGTTTCTGGGTTTTGGGCCACAGTAAACAAAGAGGGACTTTAAATTTCATAACCAACTATTTCTGTTAGGCTTCATTTGAAGCAATGCTATCTGAAGCGTGTGGGAGGAGACCTGGTCACTGCAACCTGTTTCTCTTACTACAGACAAGAAAGAATGAATGGTTAGTTTAGTTTGAAGCTATAAAGCTGAATGGCCTCTCCATCCTTAAAACAACCTTTCTTTGGGCGATTGATTAGGCTAACTATGAAACGGCATCTCCTCCTGCATGATGTTATTATCTAATATACCAGATAACTACTTAAAACTGGTCTAAAGATGGAAGTTGTTAAAGTAGCAGCAAATGGTGGCCTTCACTCTGCTCCCCAGTCTTTTAAAATGTCTTCCAGGTTTTATTTTATGGGATTATCTGACGTTAAGCTCAGTCCATCATCTTGCTGCAGAATCTGTCCTCTTTTATCTCTTTAACTGGCCTGTGGGTTCAGGATTCATTACCCTCATCCCAGAGCAGTCTCCTGCCGCAGCACGATGCTGCCACCTCCGTGTATCCCAGTAGGGATGACGGTGTGCTGAGTTAACGTCATTGTGTGTTTGTTGTTTTATTTTTTGTTTTGTTTTTTCACAAGCAGAAGTTTGATAGTTTTATGAAATGGTTGCAGGTTTTGGACCCGGAGCTGGAGTTTGCAGATCAGGCGTTTCCCCCACAGTCCCTGCAGCCTTCAGCTCTGAAGATCCAGGTAAGAAATGCTGTTATGAAGACAGAAATAAACTATTTTCTTTGCTCCTACGAGAAAGAGAGTCCCAGAATGAAATTCCACTTTGGACCCTGGACTGTGGCTGTGCTGTTTCAACAGTAATGCTACATTCTGACCCGACGCAGCACGTGCTGCTTCATTTTTAATGCTTTTAATAGTTTAGTTTAGTAGTTCTGACGCGCGGCTGAAGCATTTTTGCTGCTCCCGCTGTGGCATCGAAAACTGTTTCTGATGCGCGTTGGGCAGAGCTACCGTATTTTCACGACTATTAGGCGCACCTAAACGTCTTTTTTTTCCCTCAAAATGTGGGGTGCGCCCTATGGTGCGGTGCGCCCTATCTGCGGACGTTGTTGAGACCACCATGAGTATGTGAGAACGTTAAAGGGGGAAGTGTGGGCGTGGCTTGTGTATAAAAGAACAGGTATGTGCTTTATGCAGAACATTGTTATCTTAACAACCCTGGAAATGGCAAAGAGACACGCCTATGAAGCCCAGTTTAAACTGCAGGCTATCAGCTACGCAGAGAAACATGGAAATCGAGCAGCTGCGAGAGAATTCAATATAAATGAATCAATGGTTCGCAAGTGGAGGAAGCTGGAAAACGAACTCCGACTGGTGAAGAAGACGCAGCTGAGTTTCCGCGGACATAAGCCGAGGTGGCCTGAGTTGGAGGAAAGACTGGAGCGGTGGATCGTGGAGCAAAGAACGAGTGGGGCCAGCGTTTCAACGGTCACTGTTCGACTAAAAGCAGTAAAGCTGGCGGAAGAAATGAAAATTGAAAATTTTCAAGGAGGTCCATCGTGGTGCTTCCGTTTTATGAAACGGTGCAATTTTTCCATCTGGACCAGGACTACAGTTGCTCAGCGACGTCCGGCGGATTATGATGAAAAGCTGGCGAGCTTCCACTCCTTCTGCAACAAACACATCGCTGACAAAGTCATCCAGCCAAGCCACATCACCAACATGGACGAGGTGCCGCTCACTTTCGACATCCCGGTGAATCACACGGAGGAGAAGAAGGGGACCAGCACTGTAGCGATACACACAACGGGGTATGAAAAGGCGTCGTTTACTGTTGGATAATGGACAGAAACTGCCGCCTATGGTGATTTTTAAAAGAAAGACTTTGCCTAAAGAGACTTTTCCAGCTGGAGTCGTTATTAAGGCAAATGAAAAAGGCTGGATGGATGAGGAGATGATGAAAGCGTGGCTGAGGCAGGTGTATGTGAGGAGACCAGGTGGTTTTTTTCACGCATCACCATCTCTGTTAATTTTTGACTCCATGCGTGCCCATCTCACAGCCGATGTGAAAAAAAAGGTCAAAGAAATGGACGCTGTGCTTGCTGTTATTCCGGGAGGTCTGACAAAGGAGCTTCCACCGCTCGACATCGGTGTGAACCGGCCGTTCAAAGTAAGGCTGCGAGCGGCGTGGGAGCGATGGATGACAGACGGAGACCACAGTTTCACTAAAAGTGGAAGGCAGCGCCGGGCAAATTACGCCACCGTTTGCGGATGGATTGTAGATGCTTGGACTAACGTGTCTGCTGGCTCTGTTGTTCGAGCTTTCGCAAAAGCCGGCATTATTTCCAAGGAGCCGCCCGGCACGGAAAGTGACTCTGACAGCAAAGAAGAAGGGGAAACTGGCATGTCTGATTTAGCGCAGCTGTTTAATTCAGAAACAGAGGATGATGACTTTGATGGGTTTGATTAATACTTTGTAATAAATACATGAATAAAGCACAATCATACTCAGTTTTGCTCCCGCTCTATTTTTCTACCTGAAAACTTAATTCAACAGCAGCCTATGGGCCGCGGCGCATCCGGGTTCACCTCGGCAGCTGGCAGGTGTTTTTTCATCTAAATAATCTAAATCTTTTTAAGTGAGAAAGTCCACCTGAAAACTTAATCATTGCAGTCAGTTCATGCAGATTATTATCCTGCCTATATTTTAAGTTAATTTATGCGTCAATAAACTGTATCAGAGGAGTAATCACAGCCCTGTGTCATCAGCGATGTGTCTCTCATGGCCAGCTCCCAGGTTTGAATAATACTTTGTAATAAATACACCTTGCAGCTTTATTTGCTGTGATCAGTGGGAATAAAGTAGTTTTAATATGTTTTTAAGTGGGAAAATCCACCTGAGAGGACATGTACCTGTATATAAAAAACGCGTCCTATAGTCCGATGCGCCTTATGTGTGTGTTAAATACAGAAATGGCACACATAACTGAGACTGCGCCTTTTAGTCCGGTGCGTCTTATGGTTGTGAAAATACGGTACTCTATCCTTTCTTTGCCTGGAACAATGGCAGCCATATTAGCTGTGATCAGCGGGTAAAAAGTAGTTTGAATCTATGTTGAAGTGAGAAAGTCCTCCTGAAAACATGGTCTGTGCAGTTAGTTCATCCAGATTACCATCCTGCCTTCAGAGATTATTTCTCTGTGGGAGCCGCTCAGACCCCCACATACCGGCAGAGCGACAGCCTCTGGCCGGGTTTCCTCTTTGCGGTTTTCTGCTGCTGTCCCCGGCTGCAGTAAGGCCTTTTTTATGTACGTAATCCAAACTGCAGGCAGAATAATAGAATTGAACGTATTCTGCTGACAGGTTTCTACATTTTCAGTTAATTTAGACGTTAATAAACTGTTTCAGAGGAGTGATCATAGCGCTCTGCATCAGCAGTACTGTGTCTGACTCCCTGCCAGCTCCCAGATCAGCTTCTCTCATTGGTTGATGTGGCACAAAAGTTAACTTTTTTCAGCTCCAGGTGCTGCTACTTCTGACACATCAGCTGCTCAAAAGCTCGTGAGGCGCTGCTTCAGCTGCTCAGATGCACTGCGGCACCTTTTTCTGCGCCTTGATGCGTCAACCTTTGACTTTACATGAAAACTAGCTGCTTCTGCTGCTTATGGTCTGAAAGCAATATTATGGTTTGATCAAACAAATAGTTTGTTTCAGTAACTTACTTCCAGAAACATTAGATAGATTCTGCCAAATTGTTTTGCTGTCGCTAACTGCTAGGAGCCGTTACTGCAGTCCGATCTTGTGGTGAAAAAATGTGCTAACAGCTGGAACAACAAACTGAACTTAAATGTATCGTTTTATGACGGGACTGAACTAGTGTGTCATTTCCTGTCAGATCTGTCTGGATGATCAGGTTCCATCACGTGCTAAATGTGTATACTGTAAAGTAATTTCAGAGTGCTCTATAAATAAACGGAACTGTTTGTGTGTTTCAGGATAAGGAAATCCGAGCGGTCTTCCTGTGGCTCTTCGCTCGGCTTTTCCAAGGCTATCGTTGGTGTTTACATATCATCCGAATTCACCCAGAACCTGTAATCCGCTTCCATAAGGTACGGAAACGCTTTGTTTTAAAAAGAGGAAATAAAAGAATGCCTCTGCAAAAAGTGAGTGGGCTTCTGTTGGCAGGCGGCCTTCCTGGGTCAGAGGTCATTGACAGAGGACGACTTCCTCATGAAGGTGTTAGACGGGATGGCGTTCGCTGGCTTTGTGTCGGAGCGCGGCCCTCCTTACAGGGCCACCGATCTCTTTGATGACGTGAGTCTTTCTGCACAAACAGGAAGTTTAAGGCCCTTCAAAATCAATCTGAAACCTGATGTCAGTGATTGGAATCAAAAAATGGATCCATGTCCTAATATATTTAATGCACAAATAAAATGTTACTGTAGAACAATTACAGTTACCTTTTGTATCTATGCTTCTTTTTCTATGTCTGCTTCTTTCTCCTTGAACCCCAGTGGGCCTCAGATGAATGAATAAAGAGGCTAATTAAGAGATACATACATTTATCTCACTGTATATTTAATTCCTACCTAAATTTATTTATTTATTGTATTTTGGGTGCAGTTAATTGTATGCCTATTTATTGAGTATTTATTTATTTCTGTATTTATTTTTAAATATGGTAGAGCTGATCCTACACAATTATTTAGATGTTTTACATAGAAACATTTTTATCAGTGCTCATGCATACATCATTTTGTTCGGATGGTTCTAGTGTTTAGTTTTAGATCAACGTGCATCAAAGTCTTTAAAATGCTAACATTTATTTTTTTTTATGCAGCTTGTTGCCAACCAGGTGGAGCGAATAAGACAAGAAGAGGCCTGTCCACACAAAGTCATGAATCACGTCAAAGAGTTGGCAGAGATACTTTTTAAGAATGTACGTCAGGACGTCTCTGATCTTTCCATGCACAGAGGTTTTCTGTCTTCTCGTTGTATCCATGGGTTTCCCATGAAAGGAATTCATTTTCTCCTCCTCGTCTTCGTGCCGTCCTTTCAGGAGAATCCCTACCCTGCAGTTGCTATGCACAAAGTCCAGAGGCCATCAGAGAAGAGCCAAAACACGAGCCAGAGCCAAGCTCCCTTCCCCGTCCTGGATGATGTGTCGGTACAGCTCTTCATCGATCATGCGATTGCCAAGCTCAAGACCGCCCCTCCTGTCGTCAAGGCAGAGATGAAGAGCATGGTGCCGTCTGGGCCTCCGCTGGGTAAGCTGAACATCACTACTTCCTGGAAAATTCTACAAAATCCAAACACACTTTTCATTTCAGCAGAGAGCAGATAAATGATAGATCTGAGTTTATCATGATGGTGATGATGATGAATGACGGACATTTTCTTCACAGGAGACATTATAGACAGGAACGGGAACGTGATGGCTAACAGCGCTCGCAGGCTGGAGGTGGTCAGGAACTGCATCACCTACATCTTTGACAATAAGATGCTGGAGGCCAAAAAGGTGAGACAGACACTGAGTTAGCAGCACATTTACACTTTAAGCTGATGAAGGTGTTCAAACCATCATATGATTAACGACATGCTTATCTAAACCTCTGGTTATTTCCAGAAGAACCAGAACCAGGTTCTGGTTTCTTCCTGGTCAGAGGGAGTTTTTTTCTCCGCTGTCACTACAAAAATGCTTGGTGTGAGGGATTGCTGATGAGTCACTGGCCGTTTCTCATTATTAACTTGAGCCCGTGTACAACGGCCAGGACTAACGTTGGCCCCCGTGTACAGCGGCCAGGGCTAACGTTGGCCCCCGTGTACAGCGGCCAGGGCTAACGTTGGCCCCCGTGTACAGCGGCCAGGGCTAACGTTGGCCCCCGTGTACAGCGGCCAGGGCTAACGTTGGCCCCCGTGTACAGCGGCCAGGGCTAACGTTGGCCCCCGTGTACAGCGGCCAGGGCTAACGTTGGCCCCCGTGTACAGCGGCCAGGGCTAACGTTGGCCCCCGTGTACAGCGGCCAGGGCTAACGTTGGCCCCCGTGTACAGCGGCCAGGGCTGACGTTGGCCCCCGTGTACAGCGGCCAGGGCTGACGTTGGCCCCCGTGTACAGCGGCCAGGGCTGACGTTGGCCCCCGTGTACAGCGGCCAGGGCTGACGTTGGCCCCCGTGTGCAGCGGCCAGGGCTGACGTTGGCCCCCGTGTACAGCGGCCAGGGCTGACGTTGGCCCCCGTGTACAGCGGCCAGGGCTGACGTTGGCCCCCGTGTACAGCGGCCAGGGCTGACGTTAGCCCCCGTGTGCAGCGGCCAGGGCTGACGTTACTCCGTACTCGCGTTCTAGTGATTAGAGACCCGGCCACTGTGTCGATGCAATAACCTTTTTTCCTTAAATAGAAATTATGATCTGGTTGAATTGTCCCTGTAAAGTGACCTGAGGTGACATGTTATGTCATGTGCATTTGAAATAAACTGAATTGAATTAAATTGGTAACAAGAACCAATTAAAATAACATGAGTTTATGACCCAACAAAATCAGTTTTTATATAGAAATGTGAAGTTGAGGCATATGCAGTCTTGTTCATTAAAAATTCCCTTTAACTTGAAAACAGACTTTGGAGCTCTGAGACAAAGGGAGAGACTCTGATTGGCTGACTGTGTCAGGATGTTAAAGCAGTTCATCATTCATGCCTCTGAAGGCTGCAGTCATCCCTGTCTCCTCTTCAGCTTTTTATTAAGCACATTTTCTTCCACTCAACTTTCCTTTAATATTCCAGGGGTATATAATACAAAGTTACAACAAAAAAGTTTAAAAAACAATCCACGGAGGTTTGAAGACGTTTCTCTTCCCATCCAGGAAGCTTTTTCAATTTAAAATGTCAGAAATAGCGTTGAGTTCAAGGCTCTATAGAGTGGACCAAAAGAAAACCTTGTTTTTGTTTAGACGAAGTTGTTTTTTTTTTACTTTTTTGGAATGACTCTTACCTGGATGAGTGAGAATCTTACCAGCATATCATTTTGGATCAGCTGCAGCTGTCTGAACATTTTAGGAAAACCTATGAAGACTCTGTTGTAGTGATCAATTCTACTAAAAATAAATGCATGGATGAGTTTTTGTAGATCCCGTTTCTACACTAGTCCTTAAATCCTGGAGATGTTCCTTCAGGTGATAAAAGGCTGACTTAGTAACTCTGTTTAGATACGGAGGGAAACAGTCAAACCTCTCTGCAGCTGTGGGGTACCAGTGTTTTTAAAATGCAAATCAGAAATTTAATTTGGACACATTTTTTCATGTTCCCCGGTAAATTATTTTATTTATAAGTTTTAACTTATATTCTCTGCGATGGACCGGCGACCTGTCCAGGGTGGACCCCGCCTCTCGCCCGTAGACAGCTGGAGATAAGCACCAGAATCCCTTGTGACCCCGCTTGGGATTAAGCGTGTCAAGAAAATAATTGGATGGAATTTATATTCTAATTTTAAGCTTTTCAATTCTGTTTATAGATGTTTTTTTGTTTCCTTGACAATCAAAAAAAATTCACCTAATCAGTAAATGCCTAAACCTTGGGTTTGTCTTCTCCCCTGAGAGCTGCTCCTAATCCTAACATTAACGGTCAGCACGTGTGATTTGTGGCTCATTGCATTTTTCATTCTGATTCGCGGAGGAGTTGTGCCATCTGGTGGACAAACCTTAGCATTACAGCGCATGTTGATGTAATGTTAAAGTTAACACCATCTGCTTGAGTACCAAAGCGCCACACCTGCCTCCATGATCGGCAGGTGTGGCGCTGCTCAGAAATGCGCTTCTCGGTCTGATTGTGGTTTCTCTGTGCAGCTGATGCCAGCTGTGCTGCGGGCGTTAAAAGGTTGCACAGCTCGGGTTTGTTTGACCCAGGAGCTGAACCAGCATGTTCTCCAGAACCGGGCTGTGCTGGATGACCAGCAGTTTGACTACATCGTTCGCATGATGAACTGCACTTTACAGGTGAGCAACATGCAACGCTGATCCTGCTGATGCTCTGATCCACTGTTGGTGCCCAGATCAGCAGCTGAGTGGTTTCTCTTCTTCTTCTGTCTGTTTGTAGGACTGTTCCCATATGGATGAACACGGCACAGCAGCCGCTCTGCTCCCTCTGGTCACCGCTTTCTGCAGAGTAAGTTACCAACCAGCGTCTCTACATTCCTCCATCAGACTTTACTGGTTTCCATTCTTGGTGTGAGAGGCGCTCCGGGGACGCTGTAGCTGCTCCTCCTTCTCTGCTCCTTCTAAACGAGCCGTTTTCTCATTGCACAGAAACTGGGTGCAGGCATCACGCAGTTTGCCTACAGTTGTGTCCAAGAACATACGGTGTGGACCAACATGCAGTTCTGGGAGGCCATGTTCTACAGCGATGTTCAGAACCACATTAGAGCTCTGTACATGGAGGCAGATGATGGAGAGCAGCAGAACAACTCGGTGAGAAGCTCCTCCCCCATCTCTACGTCTTTGATGTTCAGCTTCTGGTCACTGATTCCTGCTTTTTCTGCTCTATTGATCCGTCAGCTGGACCAGCAGGATTGGTGTGCTACCGAAAGGGAAGTCAGCGCTTTGGAGCTGGCAGCAGAACAAAACCGGCTGTGGCCGACCCTCAGCAAAGAGATGCAGACAGAGCGCGTGCAGAAAGAAGAGAGCACGGTGTTCAGCCAGGCCATCCATTACGCCAACAGGATGAGCTACCTGCTGCTGCCGCTGGACACCAGCAAGAACCGCCTGCTGAGGAGCGCTGGCCTCGGAGACGTGGAGAGCGTCAGCAACAGCTACGTCACCAACAGGTACCCGACCTCAGGGGATCCCTGAGATTATATTATTAGATTATATTGAAACGTTGTTTCCTCCTGCAGTATCGCAGGCAGCATGGCGGAGAGCTATGACACAGAGAGCGGCTTTGAAGACGCAGAGAGCTCCGACGTGGCCAACTCAGTGGTTCGCTTCATCAACCGCTTTGTAGACAAGGTGTGCAACGAGAGTGGCGTGACCAACGAGCACCTGAAGGCGCTCCACGCCATGATCCCAGGTACAGTCCAGGTCTGGCTGAACTGTCGGGGAACAGCAGCGTGGCGGGGAGCTTGATGTGTGGCCGTGTCTCTGCAGATATCGTTCAGATGCACATCGAGACGCTGGACGCCGTCCACAGGGAGAGTAAGAGGCTGCCTCCCATCCAAAAGGTAAACAATTCCTGCTTCTACCTGCCACTGGAAAAAGGCCATGCAGACCCCCAGCCGGCCCCGCCCACTCCCCTCTCCACCAATCCCTTCAGCTCAGGCCTGCCTTGTCACAGCAGGTACGGATGGAGAGCCGTGGTTCCCAGCATGCCTCAGTGGGGACGGCTCATTCTGAGTGCCTTCATGCTGAAGGGTTCATGCATGTGAGTGTTGGAGGGCAGAGGTCAGACTGGATCATCCAGCTGTGCAGCGTCCTGCTGCGTGCTGCAGCGTCCTGGTGTGTCCTGCAGGGTTCAGAGGTTTTCTGCTCCATCAGAAGTGAAGCAGCTGAAGGTTTTTCAGATAAAACAAGCAGAACTTTGGTTAGTGGCAGTTTGAGAAGATGGAAATCCAAGAGTAGCTCATACAGAAGAATTATAACGGATCATTACTGCGATAAAGGATCTGAACGTTTGCTGATCCATCAGCAGACTGTGATCATGACACCAACCGCTTATCATTGGATCACCTTCTGCTTTAGGTCTGCCGTGTCCCTAATCAGGCCTTACCCTGGATTTAGACTTAGATTAAAGTACAAACAGGTGGATTCTCTTCGGTTTGCAGCTTTGTAATCAGCCTGAATGATGGGAGAGCAGCTGAGCAGGGATCTAATTAGGTCAGGTTCTTGGTCCTCTTGCGGCTTGGTTTTTCTTGCGTGTAAAGTCTGTCATGATTCTGAAAGCATGGTGTTGATTTTTGGAGTGTTTGAATTCCAGAAACAATCCCTCCAGCTTTGTTCTTTGATTTGAGCAGTTTAAGTTGGAATCTAGAACGAACATCCAGCTCTGTTTCATCAGTTTCCCTCATAGGAATAATGGATGCTTTGTCTCCTTTCATCTTCATCTGCAGCCCAAGCTGCTAAGGCCGACTCTGCTGCCCGGTGAGGAGCTGGTGATGGAAGGCATGCGGGTCCACCTCATCCCCGATGGCCGTGAGGAGGCCACGGGGCATATGGGAGGCCCCCCCCTTCTTCCTGCAGAGGGCGCCATCTTTCTCACCACCTACCGGCTAATCTTCAAAGGAACACCGAGTGATGCGTTGGGTGAGGAAACCATGATGATGATCAGAGCCTCTCTGGGGTTTTTATCTGTGTTCTCCTCTAAAGCGGCGTGTTTTCCTTCAGTAGGGGAACAGATTGTGACTCGCTCATTTCCCGTCGCGTCTCTGACCAAGGAGAAGAGGATCTCCGTCACATTACCCATGGACCAGTTTGTCCAGGAGGGCCTCCAGCTCCGATCCTGCACCTTCCAGGTTCTTGCCTCTCCAACCTATGACCCCCTTTTCACGCTGATGCTCTAATCCACTAATAATGCGAGGTCCTTCTCTGCCCGTCCTGCCTGCAGCTTATGAAGATCGCCTTTGATGAGGAAGTGGCATCAGACCTGGCTGAGAGTTTCAGGAAACACCTCCATAAGCTGCGCTTTCCTCAGCACGTCCAGGGAACCTTTGCTTTCACAGTGGGGCAGAGCGGCAAGCTGGTGTTGGAGCCCAAAACCAAGGACAAGAATCAGTCCTTAAGGTTAGACTCTTTCCATCCACTGGTTTTACTCCTCCTCAGCTGAACACCATGGAGCTCAGGGTACAAACTGTTTATCTGTCATTATCGCCTTCAGGACACTTTCCAAGAACCTGGTGAAGAATGCAAAGAGGACCATCAGTCGACAGTACGTCACCAGGAAGAAGGAGTCTCCGCCATCCTGGGAGAACAGGAGCAGCTTCCAGTCTGAGCTGGATGAAGATGAAATATCAGGTAACTGGTTCTTTACAGGAACATTTTCCTCCAACTCTTTTTCTGGTCCCTAAAGTTCTAAAGTTTGACCAAATCCCTTCCACAGTCTCAGAGGAGGTGGATCAAACCACCATGACCCTGTCCTCCACCATCCGCTCCTCGGACAGACAGACTATGAGCAACGTGGTAGAGCGCGCCTGTTGCCGTGACTACCAGCGCCTGGGTTTGGGCACGCTCAGCAACAGTCTGACGCGATCTAAGAACGAGCCGTTCAGGATCTCTACAGCCAATCGCATGTACACCGTTTGCAGGAGGTAAAGCGTCGTTTTATCTGGAGGAATTTACTTTGCCTTCACTTCCTGTTTGTCATCAGGAGAAATCTAAGATCTGCTTTAGTTTGTGAATCATTTTATATTGTTGGCAACATATTTTAGGCAGTCTAAAATAAAACCTTTTATTGACAATAAGTTAGGCTACAGTCAAACTACAAAACATTTTAAGCATCTCAAAGGGTGTCTGCCTCACGGACTAAAACTGGTAGTTGGTTCCACAGGAGAGGAGCCTGATAACTAAAAGATCTGCCTCCCTTTCTACTTTTAGAAATTCTAGGAACCACTAGTAAACCTGCAGATTGAGAGCGAAGTGCTCTGTTAGGAACAAGTTCTAAGAGACCTGAGCATAGAGTCCAAATCCAACCAGCTGCCCTTCTGTTCCAGCTACCCCGGCCTGCTGATCATCCCCCAGAACATCCCAGACTCCACCATCCATCGGATCTGCCGCTGCTACCGACAGAACCGCTTCCCCGTGGTCTGCTGGAGACATTCCCGAACCAAGGCAGTCCTGCTGCGCTCGGCAGGGCTCCACGCCAAGGGGGTGGTCAGCTTCTTCAAGTCCCCCAACACCACGACTGCAGGTAGCAGGTTTATGTCAGGATGACCGCCTGCAGGGGGATCTGACAGCTTCTTATTGCTGTTCTTTATCATCCTAAACCTTTACAGGAGGAGCTGATACGCACCGGTCACACATTCTAAGACTGTCAGATCTATCAGGATTATTTGTGGGGTTTTTGGCCAAATTCAGGTCTGATTGCAGCTTCAAAAGGATAAATGGCCTAACAGCGCTACCAAAGATGGCACCTCGTGTCACGATCGAATGAAAACTAGGGAGTAAAAGTACACTTTTTGGTTAAGTTAGAGAATGTTTAATAATATGATATACTAATGGATTAAAATAATTTCCATAAAGTCATTCCACATGCAGTATAAAAGAGCTGAAATACTCATTAGTTGGTAGATTTATTTAATAGCTGTAGTTAAGGGCAAACACTCATTTTTAGGACATTTTTATTTTTGATTATCCTGCTCCCACGGCGCAGTGGGTAGCACCCCCTGGCCCGGGGTCTTTCTGCATGGAGTTATCATGTTCTCCCTGAGCATGCATGGGTTCTCTCCGGGTACTCCAGCTTCCTCCCACAGTCCAAAAACATGATTGTTAGGTTAATTGGCTTCTCTAAATTCTCCTTAGGTGTGAGTGTGGATGCTTGTTTGTCTCTGTGTTGCCCTGCGATGGACTGGAGACCTGTCCAGGGTGGACCCCGCCTCTCGCCTGTAGAAAGCTGGAGGTAGACACCAGCACCCCTCGCCACCCCGCTTGGGATAAGCCAGATGGATGGATGGATGTTTATCATCTATTTTCTTCCTCTTTATCCGTGGCCGGGTTGTGGAGGCAGCAGTGTAAGCAGAGATGCCCAGACTTCCCAATCCACACACACCCCCTCCAGCGGCTGTGGGGGGGACCCGAGGAGACACCAGTCAAGCTCGGAGACATAGTCCCTCCAGCGTGTCCTTGGCCTTCCACCAGGCCTCCTCCCATAGGACATGCCTGGAACACCTCCCTAAACTGCCTCCGCCACTTCAGCTGGCTCCTTTCAACATGGAGGAGCAAAGACTCTACTCCAAGCTCCTCCCGGGTAGCTGAGCTCCTCACCCGATCTGAAGAGGGGATTCCACCTTCTCCGGTGGAGAACCATGGCCTTGGATTTGGAGGTGCTGTTCATCATCCCGGATGCTTCACACTCGGCCGCAAACCGCCCCAGTACACACCGAACTGTTGTTTATTGGGGACTCTAGGAGGTCCCAGAGGAAAGCCTGTTAGATATACTAGCCAGCGGCTGACTAGCTCAAGTGATAAGTCAGGCTTCCTGTCAGCAGGAAGCCTGGGTTTGTATTCGAGCTGCCAGTGTGGATCCCTAGGCAATACCCTTCATACCTAGTGGTAAGGGTGTCGCACTTGGAGTTCAAGCCCCACTTCCACGGTCCCTGGGCAAAGACCCTTAACCCCACACTGCTGCAGGGAGTTGGTTTCATTGCTCATAATAACGTGCTGGAAAAAATAAATAAAATGAAATAAAATGACCATTTAGAAATGAACCTACCAAAGATGGCTGACCTATGGGATGGAATCTGTCAGACCCATCCCATAGATCAGCTCTAACCTTCTCCCATCTGCTCTCCACCTCCATCAGTCCCGTCTCAGGCAGACTCTACCAGCCTGGAGCAGGAGAAATACCTCCAAGCCATCATCAACTCCATGCCCTCCTACAGCGAGAGCACAGGCAGGAACACTCTGAGCGGCTTCACCTCCACCCATATGAACACCTCCGGTCAGTGCAGGAACACACTGGGAGCACATGCTGCTGGTCCACCAGCCTCGTCTAATTAACTGGCGACTTTCTCCATCTGCAGATTCATCAGATAAACTCAGACAGCCGAAGATTGGAGACCTGATGAAGCAGGTCCTGGGAAGCAAGGAGGACGTCCCTGGAACCTTCAGCAGAGGAGGTGAGCTGCTTAATGAGCCGTCATGATGACATCAAAGCTGATCAGGGCTGATCACCCCCTCATATCTAGCATCAGTCTGTTTGTGAGTGAAGCAGTTAAGCATCCTCCTCATGTGACGCTGTTGGTTAACGAGCCGTCTCTGTCATTTGGCCTCAGCACTTGGTCAAAAGGGGAAAGTCACCTCCCTCTCTCAGCCCAAAGTCTCTGGCAAAGCTAGAAGCTCTACTAGAGGTATAGTAGGCCACGCCCCCACACTCTTCTTGCTCTCCTCTCTAACCAATCAGATGTCTAACAGTAGCTTCAGTGTGATGTCATTCTTGGGAAAGTTACGTCTGTTTGGACTAAAGGTTTATTGTTGCTTGGGATTTATTGTGTGCATGCTGCCGTCGCCGCTGCTGCAGTTTTATTATGTGGTGTCTTGTTTGTTTGATTTTTCCCTCTGCTGAATAACCGCGGTTCTGCAGTCAGCTCTCTGATAGATCTAGCAAAGTCGGCTCACTGTCTTGTTTGCCAGCTTGGCTGTCGGTAGCCGTGGAAGTGATGACCACCTGCCGTCCACATTAAATGGATTGTTCCAGCAAAGTAGAACGATCTTGCAGAGGCTGTGGAACACATGGGAGACCTGAGGCGTGTGGTCACAGTGCCCACACCCCCACTGCTTTGAAGAGCTGACTGTTTGTGTCCGCGTTGCAGGGAAGTGGGGCAGTATCCGGGGCAGCAGCCGTCTAAGTGCCTACAACCCAGACATCGGGACGCGTTTGGCTGGGAAAGAATCTCCGCAGCCCAATGGAGGACCCAACGACCCGTTATTCCTGCGGCAGCAGAAAGCCTACCTCTACATCATCGGGGATAAGGCCCAGCTTAAGGTGAGAGGAAGAGGGAGATGGTCTGGTAGAAGCAGTGTGACCTCAGCCCTGACAAGGCTGCCTCCTTTCTTCACCCTGTTAATATCCCTCCTTTTTTAAAACACCAAAAAACTATTGAGACCTAATTTAATATCAATTAAATCAATTTCTCAACAATATTCAGCCCCTCGTTATATCAAGGCTCCCTGCAATCTAGGGTAGGAAGTGAGAGTTTAATCTAGAGTGGGAAGTGAGAGTTTAATCTAGAGTGGGAAGTGAGAGTTTAATCTAGAGTGGGAAGTGAGAGTTTAATCTAGAGTGGGAAGTGAGAGTTTAATCTAGAGTGGGAAGTGAGAGTTTAATCTAGAGTGGGAAGTGAGAGTTTAATCTAGAGTGGGAAGTGAGAGTTTAATCTAGAGTGGGAAGTGAGAGTTTAATCTAGAGTGGGAAGTGAGAGTTTAATCTAGAGTGGGAAGTGAGAGTTTAATCTAGAGCGGGAAGTGAGAGTTTAATCTAGAGCGGGAAGTGAGAGTTTAATCTAGAGTGGGAAGTGAGAGTTTAATCTAGAGCGGGAAGTGAGAGTTTAATCTAGAGCGGGAAGTGAGAGTTTAATCTAGAGTGGGAAGTGAGAGAGTTTAATCTAGAGTGGGAAGTGAGAGTTTAATCTAGAGTGGGAAGTGAGAGTTTAATCTAGAGCGGGAAGTGAGAGTTTAATCTAGAGCGGGAAGTGGGAGTTTACTCTAGAGTGGGAAGTGGGAGTTTAATCTAGAGTGGGAAGTGAGAGTTTAATCTAGAGTGGGAAGTGAGAGTTTATTCTAGAGTGGGAAGTGGGAGTTTAATCTAGAGTGGGAAGTGGGAGTTTAATCTAGAGTGGGAAGTGAGAGTTTAATCTAGAGTGGGAAGTGAGAGTTTATTCTAGAGTGGGAAGTGGGAGTTTAATCTAGAGTGGGAAGTGGGAGTTTAATCTAGAGTGGGAAGTGGGAGTTTAATCTAGAGTGGGAAGTGGGAGTTTAATCTAGAGTGGGAAGTGAGAGTTTAATCTAGAGTGGGAAGTGAGAGTTTATTCTAGAGTGGGAAGTGGGAGTTTAATCTAGAGTGGGAAGTGGGATTTAATAAAGAGTGAAAGGGTTTTTAATCCAGAGTGGATTAACTTCTACATAACTGACCCCTAACTTTGCCAGATTTGTCATAAGTCAGGCAAACGCTGGTCTAAATCATCAGGGTGTGACAGTGGGTTAAGGAAAGCTGCAAACTAGCTCAGTGCAGCTGACGTGCCTCCAGGTGAGACGATCACCACCTCATGTAGTTGAGGATGAGCTGTCTGAAGTGTTTCTCACATCCGTGAACTGAATGTGTGTCTTTGAGGTGCAGCAGAATCCAGCTGTGTGTTAAATAATCTGTTCTCCTCAGGGAGGGAAGCAGGACTCGTTCCAGCAGTGGGAGGTGATTCCCATCGAGGTGTGCGACGTGCGGCAGGTGAAGAACAGTTTCAAAAAGCTGATGAAGGCCTGCGTGCCGAGCTCGGCGAACACAGACCCCAATACAAGCTTCCTGCGCCTCCTGGAGGACTCGGAGTGGATGGCTCTGGTTGGTGTTTGCTGCTTTTAGCGCTCTAGTCCCCCGCCGTGTCATGAAGCGAGTCTGACTCTGTGTTCACCGTTTCCAGCTGCACAGAGTGCTGCAGGTGTCTGGTTTGGTGGTGGAGCTGCTGGACACGGGTTCCTCTGTCATGGTCAGCCTGGAGGACGGCTGGGACGTCACCACACAGGTGGGTCCAGACTCTGATGACTCTGCTCCATTTAATGTCTTTGAGCCCAGACGTTCACACTGTCTCTGTAGGTGGTGTCTCTGGTGCAGCTGCTGTCGGACCCGTACTACAGAACCTTTGATGGCTTCCGGCTGCTGGTGGAGAAGGAGTGGTTGTCCTTCGGCCACAGGTTCAGCCACCGCGGGGCGCAGACTCTGGGCAGCCAGAGCAGTGGCTTCACCCCCGTCTTTCTGCAATTCCTGGACTGTGTGCATCAGGTGAGGACAGCGTCTCTCCCTAGTTACAAGCTCACACTGCAGATCTTTCCTGCTCTTCCTGTTGGTGACATTAAACTAAAACCGTTCCTCCATCTTAGATCCACCTTCAGTTCCCCATGGAGTTCGAGTTCAGCCAGTACTACTTGAAGTTCCTGGCCTATCACTATATGTCCAACCGCTTCCGCACCTTCCTGCTGGATTCCGACTACGACCGGATCGAACTAGGTGAGCCGGGCCCGCTAGGTCCCAGCAGTTTTCCTCCTCTGCTGCTTGTCGCTGACCGCTGTGTGGATGCAGGCGTGTTGTACGAGGAGAAAAGCGACAGGAGGAACCCTCAGGTGTGCAAGTCTGTGTGGGACTACATCGACAGGCTCAACAAGAAAGCCCCCATCTTCTTCAACTACATGTTCTCCCCAGAGGATGAGGAGGTGAGGCCGGCTGCTGATTGGTTTGTTTTCTGAGTGAAATCTGGATTCTGATCATGATCATGAAGACGAGGCAGACCTGATGCAGGAATGTGTTGCTGCAGGTCTTGCGGCCGTACACGTTTATCTCCAACCTGAAGGTGTGGGACTTCTACCTGGAGGAGACGCTGTCTGAGGGCCCCCCCTTCGACTGGGAGCTGAAGAGCAGGCAGGAGCGGCTGGCGGAGGAGACGGCGGAGAAAGCCGACACCGCTGCTCCAAAATCCCAGCGGCGCGTCGTGTGGCCGTGTTACGACAACGTGAGCAAGGAGTTGCCTGACGCCATCACCAAACTCCTGCAAGACCTGCAGAACCTGGAAGCGGAGCTAGGACAGACGTCAGAGAAATGGAAGGACACGTGGGACAAGATCAAGACCACGCAGAGGACTGAGACCAAACTGGAGAGCAAAGTAAGTCCAGAATTTGATTTCCCTCCGAGGTTCTGATGCTAGCTTTAGCTTTGAAAAGCATCTGGGAATATTTCCTCTCTGTCCTCCTCAGCTATCGTTCTCCAGTTCTCTGTTGATGTCCTCTAACCTGAGCCACCAGCGGCGTTCCCAGGGCGTGTGTCTGCAGGAGAGTGGTGTGGGATCATCCATCAAGCTGGGACTGGACTGCAAGGCCAGCGCCACGTCCACGCCTGTGTCGGGGCGGCAGAGCACGAGCACGCTCTACAGCCAGTTCCAGAGCACCGAGAGCGAGAACAGGTCTGCTCCGTTTACTGCCTCTTTCTGGGTGTTTGGTTACAATGTGCTGAAATCAATTAGAATATTAGAGGACATGGTTTATTTCAAAAAGCTCAAATCAAACCGATTTGTTAGTCTGAGAGATTTATCTAAAGAACAAACTTTGAGGATTATTTCTCACAGCTAATAAAACTCAAAGTTAGGGTCCATTTCTCAATTCACAAGAACACGAGTAGGGACTGGTGTTCTCACCGAGTACGTGCTGAACAAGACCCCAGGAGAGTACGGACTCTGGGATAACGCAGAATAAATCTGGGTCAATTGGAACAGAAGCGGACTGATGACATCACCACATTCAAAGCTCGTCTGGAGCTGCATCTCGCCTCCTGTTATTAACTGTATCTAGATCAGGGTTCACTAACCTTTTAAAGGCTGAAAGGTACCGAGTCATAGGAAGGGCTACCAATACTGACCCAAATAAAATAACAAAATTAAAAGAAAAAATAGAAATATGTTTACATTTCTTTCATTTTTGTGTATTTTATTTTAGACATTGTCATTTTGAAAAGTTGTAGCCCATCTGCTGCTGCAGACGGGCCTGGCTGTGGCTAGCCTCACAGCTGCGCTGGTTGCCACAGTCCTCAACGTCTGAACTAAATCAGTAAATGGGCCATATGGTGAACTTAAAGAATAATGTTATCATCTCAGATGATATTAAAACATACTTTTATAGAACAACAGCAATAGAAAAGAACTTTAAATTTAGTGCTGTGAGTAATAACCGCAGTGCATGCTGGGAGGCCTGTCAGTCTGGAGAACGGACAATCTGCCCTGATGCATGCTGGGTAAAGAGGGAGGGGCGAGAATAAGATCCGGAGACTTTCAGTTCTCAGTCTTATGTTGTGAGTGCGAACGATGCGGGAGCTGAGGCTGATGACGTTTAACGAGCACAGGAGAAGTACGCAGATCTAGAAACGAGCTCTTTTCAAGGTGTTCCCTGGTTTTTGGGCCACGGTTCCAGTTTGGTTTCTCTACATGTTTTGTGCAGAATGAGGCCAGTCTCTTCTGTCTGAGTTTGTGGTTTTATAATTGTTTTTATTATTACCTATGTTTAGGTTCATAATGCCAGAATTTAAATCTAAACTCCAAATCTGATGAGACCAAATCATTTTCTTTACTTGACTAATTTCTATGATAGGTCATTTTTAAGGGACCTTATGTTGCGTAATGGTCCAAAATTATTGTTTTTTGTAAAAAATAAAAATGTGCATTTCTAAAATTTGACATTTATACAGACTGGTTAATTTTGTTAACCATATTATCTGCTGATGATGATCCACTGTGTCTTATAAAGTCCAAAGACGACTAACAGAACTTTGTGTTATAGTTGTTGTAGTAGCTGTTAGCATTAATCACCAAAATAAACATAATATAATATTCAGTAGCCATTTAGAGATGCAGTTTTAGATCAGACTTTCTAGAAGGAACCATACCTGAACCCAACTAGTCTCATATTTGCCTTTTAAACCCACCAGGAGCTTCGAAGGCATTTTGTACAAAAGAGGAGCGTTGCTGAAACCATGGAAACCAAGGTGGTTTGTGCTGGATAAGACGAAACACCAGGTAAAATGCATCAGGTTTCCTCAGTAGCCCAAGCTGTATGCAAAGAACTTCCTCCAGTTTCTAACACATCTCTACTTATAGCTGCGATACTACGACAGCAGACAGGACAAAGAGTGCAAAGGTGTCATCGACCTGGCAGAGGTGGAGTCGGTCACAGTAGGAACACCTACCATGGGGGCACCAAAAAACGTTGAGGAGAAAGCCTTCTTTGATGTGAGTTCTTTAAAAAGAAGTGAACCTGTTCAGTGTGCTGCTTTAAATAGCAGTCAGAAACTAAAAAAAGAAAATTCAAGTTATCTGCCTAAAACATTGACAGACCTACTCACTCCTTTTATGGTCTTGATCTTGCATCGAGTTTAAAATAACAGCATCTCCACACATCTGCCCTTAGAAAATCAATATTTAGTTGATGTTACACTAGGGCTAGGCGATAAACTGAATTAATTCGATTAATTCATGTTTTTAAAAGTCCATGAAAGTTAGAAATTTTGCAAAATCGTAAAATCGATTCTGCATTTTTACTTGCCTCCTTTTCCTCCATCTGCGTGATAGTGTACTGTATTGTTTATATATTTTTTACTAATCAGTACAATTATTGTTGGGTGAACATTTGTTACTTGCACAAGATTTATGATATGAATATTTAAGTTTAATTTATTTTTTTTAACAATATGTTTATTGTTGGCTCAATATTTGTTACTTTGGACTATATATGTCTGAATAAAGTAAACCTATTAAAATAGATGCATGTAGTTTTTAAAAATGACACTAAACTCATATGGGGAGTAGAACATGATGGAATAACATAAAATCAAGGGGTCAATGTAAAAAAACAGCGTTCCCCTTTAAATTCTATTAAAATCTTAATTGTCCAAGATGACTAAAAACATTTTTTAGCCATATCTATGTTAAGCTTTCCTTACCTATGGTCAGAGTTTTCCATTCTTTGAAAGTTCTCGTCCTACAACTTTCAGGTGCTCTTTGGCACTAGACAGTGTTTCCCCCTGAAAAATAAGGCATTAAGTAAAAGACATGTAGGAGCTTGGAGAGAAGAGCTAGTCTAAACATTAACAGAAGCTTGAATTAAATCTGATCTAAATGCTTTAAGATGACTTAATTGTTGCTGATTGATTCTTATATAGATTAACTGAACAGAATTTTATCCCTGGCAAACCTGGTGTGTCTGACACAATATAATAATAATAATTATCCCCTGAGGCCTTTTATTTTTCTTTCATTAATTCTGACCTTTCCTGTGTTTGTGGATCCCTTTAACTTTAACCATCCTTTGTCTGCTTTCAGCTGAAGACGGCCAAGCGGATGTATAACTTCTGTGCCCAGGAGAGTTCCAACGCACAGCTGTGGATGGACAGTATTCAGAGCTGCCTGTCAGACGCCTAGAAAAGAGGCGGGGCTTTAAACTCACCCAGGAACTAACAGGGAGCGTTGCTTTGCCTGCTGGATTTCTCTGCTGAACAACCTCAGCAGAACAAAGAGGGAAAGGGGCCTTTCACCACTGATCACTAGTGTTGAACTAATAATCTGTCACATGTTACAGTGTTTCTGTTAGTAAAGAGAAAAGCAGTCCCAGAGGGAGTCTGAACACGCTGTCTGGGCGCCATCCTGCAGCTTGGAGCGGCGCCACCTTCCTTCCAGACCCTCCTCCTGTAAACTACCACCTGTCCCCTCTCTACTAACCCCCCCCCCTCCCACTCACACTTTAAGGAGGAATGACGGAGGAGCTGCAGACCGCCAAGCTGCTCACTGAACTCATTAGACTGCCTGGTTGATGGACCAAATCTGCCCTGAGGATGACCTCATAAAGCTCTGCTCCCACTGCCCCATGCAGCCCACCCATAGGATGCTCTGGCCAGCATGTTGCCCTGGAGACGGTGGAGCAGGAGAACTCTGCAACGGTTCATGAAGGATTTCCTTTTTTATTTTGTTTTGGGGTTTTTAAAAACAGAAGGAGCAATCTCCCGTTAGCTGTTCTCAACATGCCCAGGAATGACCCAGAAGAATCGGCTGGAGATCCAGAATAAATGTTTACATAAAAGATGAACGTTTCCTCGCTCGGCTCGGCTTTGCTCGCTTTTACCAAACCACTACTACAACGGAGATGTTTAAGGGAAGCAGAAGGAAAAGGAGGGATTTCTATCATGTCTTTGAAACAATCTGAAGGCGGGAGGTGGGGATGAGGGGCTGGGTCGGCCGCAGAGGTGGAAACCAGTTGGAAAAGGAAAATTCTTTTCTTTTAGACCAGAGTAGTTCAGTTTTCTACTTCTTAGAGATCAATCGTTCCGTTTCCTTTACTGCGATGAAACTAAACAGCCTTGGAGCCTGGATGGAGAAAGCTGCCATCATTTTCCTTTAACTTTGCTACCAAGGCTGCAGCCGGTAACCCCCCCACCCCCCTCCACCATCCCTCTGTTTGTATCATACACCTCTACTGCTGTCTGAACAGAAACTGTAGTTTATTTGTGTCTTAACAGCTCCTGTGTATATACTACTCCAGATTTGTATGTAACATTTATGGTAGTAATTTATTTAACTTGTCTCGAGAAAAGCACCACTTTGTGTTGAAATTAGGAATTCAATGTGCCATTTATTTCTGTATTAATGTGACTAATACCTTTTTTTAATGCGCAAGTAAACATTTATTGCTCTTTTATTTGTTTACACAGTCATTATTACTTTGATCAGAGATCTGAGGCGGTGTTTCAGTAGAGGAGTCTCTGGGTTCCGTCATCACCTAGAGGGGTTTTATTGTTCCCCTAATAAAAATAAATATCAGACATCAAATCCTCCCTGATTCTGTTCTGCTCGCCGGCTGCGTCATCGCCAACCGCTGGCATCAACTTCACCTGGAAATGTTTAAAAAACAAAGCAGCAGTTTTTAGTATTTCTTTATGAGCATCAATTGTTTCTAATGTTGGGGCTGCTCAGTGGCACAGTGCAGCAAGAAGGTTCTGGGTTCGATTCTCAGCCCGGGTCTTTCTGCATGTTCTCCATGAGCATGTGTGGGTTCTCTCCGGGTACTCCTGCTTCCTCCCACAGTCCAGAAACAGGACTGTCAGGTTAATGTAGGTGTGAGTCCGTGTGTGTGTGTTAATGGTTGTTTGTCTCTGTGTCGCCCTGCGATGGACTGGAGACCTGTCCAGGTTGGACCCGCCTCTCACCCACTGACAGCTGGAGACGGGCACCAGCACCCCTCGCCACCCCTTCGGGATAAGCGTGTTAGAAAATGGATGGATGGATGTTTCAAATATCAATAAAATGTTATGAATGCATCAGAGGTTACTTCACAGGTCAGGTCTAATCAGCTCTTTAGTTCTGCTTTGTGGCTTCTTGCTGATCCAAACTATTTTCAGGCATCGGCTCCGTTTTAGGCGACCATCCTGTAATAAGCAGCTGGAGCAGAAAGCAGCATGATGGCTTCCATCAGCCCAGAATCAAAGGGTCTCTGGTTTGTTCTTCAGGAAGCTCAACTCACCACAATCCTTTATTTATTGGTTCATTGTTTTGTTTAGAAATGACCCTCTGAGCCGGGATGTCAATCATGTCCGTCTGGTTTTTAGACTCTGAATAAATAACATGGATTTAAATGCTCCATCGTCTCATCAGTTTTTAACAACTTGTTTATTTTTTTCTGGTTGTTTATTGAATTATGTCTGTTAGAGTTTACCAATGGTTAAGCCATTTTCTTTTCACTTGACTGAGAATCAAGACAATCTTCTAGAGGTGTGGAAATTCAATATCATGATGAAACGTGTCTGATGGCGATCAATTGCAACAACAGAATAAGGGGGATAATCAAGTTGTCTAGTTTATTAAATTCAGTTTATTTCTATAGCGCCAATTCACGACACGTCATCTAAAGGCACTTTACAGTTCAACCAGATCATGCAGCCAGATTGATTCAAAGTTCTTTAACCAGCTGATTGCATAAATTTATTGACTCAGAAGCAATGTTTGTAGCGACAGTGGAGAGGAAAAACTCCCTTTGAACAGGAAGAAACCTCCAGCAGAACCAGGCTCAGTGTGAGCGGCCATCTGCTGAGGCCGACTGGGGTTCAAGGAGACAGAAGCAGACATAGAAAAAGAAGCATAGATACAAAAGGCAACTGTCAACCAGCTCCACAGACGGCCCCGTCCAGGAAACACACAGCCAGGCAGACGAGCTCCGAGCCAGCTCCCATGCCAGAGGACGAAGAGAGCACATCCAGTTAGTCACAGTCAGAGAAACAGGACTACACTGGAAAACAGGCCGATCTCCAGCATCTATAAACAAAGGTGTTGATGGCAGCAGCACAGCTGATATTTCTCTCCAGGATGGAGTCACAGCCAAACAGGAACAGACCAGATGAAGCTACTATGAGAAAAAGCAGAGAGAGCAGAACGTTAGAGATAGAACTGACAGATTCTGCAGAGTGGGAGAATAGAAAGAGAATGAAGCAGAATGATGAAAAGGGGTCCCTATGTCCTCCAGCAGTCTAAGCCTATAGCAGCATAACTATCGAAATAGAGCAATAGAACATTAGAGATTGAACTAACAGATTCTGCAGAGTGGGAGAATAGAGATACACTGCCTGGCCAAAAAAAAAGTCGCCACCTGGATTCAACTAAGCAGACAGGTACGAGCCTCCTATCGGATAATTACTGCATGGGCGATTATCGTTCAGCTGGCAACAAGTTATTTAACCCCAACTGGTGCAATGGAAGAAGGTCATGTGGTCTGATGAGTCCAGATTTACCCTGTTCCAGAGTGATGGGCCAATCAGGGTAAAAAGAGTGGCAGGTGAAGTGACGCACCCACCATGCCTAGTGCCTACTGTACAAGCCTGTGGGGGCGGGGTTATGATCTGGGGTGCTCAAAGAAGTCAACTGACTACCTGAATATACTGAATGACCAGGTTATTCCATCAATGGACTTTTATGCCCTGATGGCACAGGCATATTCCAAGATGGCAATGCCAGGATTCATCGGGCTCAAATTGTGAAAGACTGGTTCAGGGAGCATGACACATCATTTTCACACATGGATTGGCCACCACAGAGTCCAGACCTCAACCCCATTGAGAATCTTTGGGATGTGCTAGAGGGGGCTTTGCGCAGCGGTCAGACTCTACCATCATCAATGCAGAAAAATTAATGCAACAATGGATGGAAATAAATCTTTTACCTTTGCAGAAGCGTATCGAAACAATGCCACAGCGAATGCGTTCTGTAATCAAAGCTAAAGGCGGTCCAACAAAGTGTTAGAGTGACTTTTTTTTTGGCCAGGCAGTGTAGAATGAAGCAGAATGATGAAAAAGGGGTCCCTATGTCCTCCAGCAGTCTAAGCCTATAGCAGCATAACTATAGAGATAGCTCAGGATAACCTGAGCCACTCTAACTAGAAGCTTTATCAAAAAGGAAAGTTTTAAGCCTAGCCTTAAAAGTAGACAGGGTGTCTGCCTCACGGACTAAAACTGGTAGTTGGTTCCACAGGAGAGGAGCCTGATAACTAAAAGATCTGCCTCCCATTCTACTTTTAGAAATTCTAGGAACCACTAATAAACCTGCAGATTGAGAGCGAAGTGCTCTGTTAGGAACATAACACACAATTTTTATTTTCCATTTAAGGCTTTACCGGTATATGTCAGCTTATTTTTACAATATTCCTCAGATGAAGAAGGAAATTCTAGAAACCTCTTTGATATGGGATTTAAATGACAGGTCCTGATCAAAAACACCAATATTTTTTTCTTTATTATCTGAAATCAGTTTAATCCCATCCAAATGAAGTGACTGACTAATCAGTTTCTTTTTCAGAGACTCTGGTCCAAAGACTATAACTTCTGTTTTGTCTGAATTCAGAAGCAGAAAGTTAAGAGTCATCCAGGTTTTTATGTCTTCAGACATGCCTGTAATCTATGTAATGGGTTAACTTCATCTGGATTATAGACAGATATAGCTGGGTATCATCAGCATAACAGTGGAAATTAATCCCATGCTGTCTAATAATTCTACCGATTGGGAGCATATACCGTAAATTCTCTAATATAGGCCCGGGCCTTTATTTCACTCAAGTGCATCGCGGTCCAGGCCTTTATTGGATAGAGGCCAGAATTAGAGACAGGCCTCTATTGCTATTTGAGCAAAACAGACTACCAGTGGAATGAATAAAAATGAGATTTTGTGTCTATTTGAACCTATAAAACATAGGGTCATTTATTGAAAAAGTACAGTTACCATGTCTCGCTTGGTTTGAAGTAAAAAAAAAAAAAAATCCTCAAATTCTGTTTAATTCTCCTCCTCAGTTTCCTCCTCCTCTTCATCTCTCCCTTTATTCTCCTCATCACTCGCGCTCCTCCTCCTGTTCTGCTGCGTGTCTGTTCTCTTCCTCGCGCAGACGGGCAGCAGTCAGGGCCTGTCGTCCAGCCGCGCAGGGCTGTGGTACTTGTATGTTACTACCACAAGTATAATGTTGAGGTATGCCCAGAAAAAACGTTTATAGCCCCGGCCTGTATTAGAGACCAGCCATTATTTACCTCCTCTGACAGCGAGACCGGCCATTATTAGAGACCCGGCCGCTATTGGAATACAGGCCAATATTAGAGAATTTACGGTATAAACTAAAGAGAATTGATCCTAGCCCCTAAACCAGTCTAGTGATGTTCTGGTGCATAAGTACAGATACAAGTCCATTATCTGAGGCCATGAGAATATCATTAGTGACTTTCACCAGAGCTGTTTCAGTGCTATGATGAGCTCTAAAGCCAGACTGAAACTCTTCAAAAAGTTCATTATGGTGGAAGTGATCGCAAACTTGTTTGGCAACGACTTTCTCAAGAATTTTAGATCAGAAAGGAAGATTGGATATAGGTCTATAACTGACAGTTATTTGGATCAAGAGACGGTTTCTTAAGTAAAGATTTAATTATCGTTTTCATATAATTCTGTCTTTTGAAAAGCAACCAGCACTGTTGTTTCTTAAATATTCTGGGTCAGTTTGCGGCCTCTTTGTGGTACCACCTGCTGCAGCATTCAGAGGCAATCTTAACATAACTAAAATGCAAACCATTACATCTAGAGCACTTTCCTGCTGAATGTTACTGATTTGACACAAAATGTGTTTTTAACTTTCTGTAAACCGTTAGACCGGGAAATCTTTAAATTAACATTTGGTTGGTATTACCCTTTTTACAATGGGAATTGTTTTGTCTTTGAGATAATTTCTCCAAAAAAACTGCTTAAATTGTTTCTCATCAATTTATTCTCATATATTCTCCAGTTATTCTACAGAAAGATGTATTTCAAATTCAAAAATACTTCATCGAAACAAAAGAGAACTTAATTAAATCAAGTAGTTCATATCAGTGCTGCCAACAAGCTGATGTTATTTTTCATCAGTCATGTTATTTGTGTCATAAGTGTTAAACCAAACTCTTCTCTATTAACTTTTCCTCCAAAGTCACAGTCAGCCATTTACAAGTTCAGATGCTCCAAGGCCTCAAAGTGCATTTTTTACTGATCCTTTAAAAGTACATATTCTTCCTTCTATATTTTTACCGCTTCATTGCTTCATAAAGGCAGCAAAGTTAGCAAATAAGTCTACTCGATGTATACTGTGATTGTGTAAAATGTTGTATACTGATTAGGAAAATGTTTTTTTCCATTCATAACTCATGGAGAAGCAAACTGGCTTTATTAAAAACAGACAAATGTTCCATCATAAGGATGTTCTTTGTTCCCAAGTCACACAAAGATGTATTAATATCCTTCATTCCTTGTCTTTGTATCATGGATACCAGATCTCCCTGTATGCAGATGACTTGCTGCTCTCATTCAGAGCTCTGCAAACCTTACCTTTCTGCGATTAAGATTTGTCAGGTTTATGGTCCTGATTGAAGAAATCTCCCCTAAGGTTTTTGTTTTGTTTTGTGGCAGCAACCACGACTGAGTTTCCAGTCTTCAGGCTCTAAAAACTTAATTTGACTTCTCCAAACATCTTGCTGTGGTAACCATGACATGACAAAAATACTGTTTTTAATTATTATGTGAGCAGCTGCAGATTTCTGCTCCAGAACCTTCAGGAACATCTGCTCCACAACTTTAGCTGTGATGGAGTTTGAGTTTGCTCAATTGCTGCAGCAGTTGAGCAGAAACTCAATACCATAGGTGTGTTTATTGACTTATGTAAAGCATTTGATACCATTGATCATGCACGACTATGAGGTAAATGTGAACTGTATGGCCTACGGGGGGGTTACATACCAGTGGTTAAAAAGTTATCTAAGTAATAGATTACAATATGTACAAATCAATAACACAAAGTCACAAACAGGCATAGTAAAATTTGGTCTTCCTCAAGGCTCGGTCCTAGGACCTAAATTATTTATACTTCATTTAAATTATATTTTTGCAGTTTCCAGTAATTTAAAGTTTATCATGTTTGCTGATGATACAAATCTATTTTTTTCTGGAGAAAATTTGGATGAAATAATAAAAAGGATAGAAAAAGAGTTAGCTGACTTGAAAACATGGTTTGATTATAATAAACTGTCGTTAAATGAAGGGAAAACTAAATTGATAGTATTCTCTGGTAATCTGGTCTATAACGATATAAACTTATGTATAAATGGAGTTAAAATTGAAATAGTTAATGAGACAAACATTTTAGGGATTATTATAGACAACAAACTTAGATGGAAGCCTCACACAGAAAATATTAGAAATAAAATTGCAAAAACTATTGGAATATTATTTAAAATAAAAGATTTAATAAATATTAAAGGCCTGCATATTATGTATTCCTCTTTGGTTATGCCTTATTTGTCTTATTGTTCAGAAGTATGGAGAAATGCAAATAAAACAATTGTTGCAAAAAAAGCTATAAGGCTTATTAATAAGGTGGGAAACCGTGAACCAACTGATAAACTCTTCATTCAAAGCAATACATTCAAAGACATTGTTTATATAAAAATACTAGAAATAATGCATAAAGCAGTGAACAAAAGTCTTCCTTCTGGTATTCAGAAATTATTTGATAATATAATTTGTGAGGTTTGTTTATATTTGAATGTACCAAAGAGACGAGCCAGATAAAGTCTAGATGTGTTTCAGTTATTGGTGTGAAAATGTGGAATGAATTGAATGATGATTTGAAGTTATGTTCTTTCTTGGTGAATTTTAAAAGGGCTTTAAATGTAAAATGATAAAATCCTATGTTATGTAGATTTGAATATTTATATACGCAGTAAAGAACCTGGAGGGTTGTAAAGGTTGTAAATATAAAACAGGGCAGGCAATAATAATCTTTGCTTCAGCATATTCCTTTTTTTTTGGTAAATTGTTGGTTTTGTTTTGTTGTTTAATGTTTGATTATTTGCTAAAAAAAATAAAGTGAAAGTGAAGCATTTTTAGACTCGGGTCCATGCTGGTGTAAAACTCTGCTGTGATAGTAACGAACTTAATTAAAAAACAGAGCCGACACCTGACTGAGTTTCAGAGCTCATCATAGCACTGAAACAGCTCTGGTGAAAGTCACTAATGATATTCTCATGGCCTCAGATAATGGACTTGTATCTGTGCTCGTCCTGTTAGATCTTAGTGCTGCATTTGATACAGTTGACCATAATATTCTTTTAGAAAGACTTGAATATTTTGTTGGAATTAAAGGAACAGCACTAGACTGGTTTAAATCTTATCTATCTGATCAAATTCAGTTTGTTCATGTTAATGATAGATCTTCAACACGCTCAAAGGTTACCTGTGGAGTACCACAGGGATCAGTGCTAGGACCAATTCTCTTTACTTTATACATGCTCCCAATCGGTAGAATTATTAGACAGCATGGGATTAATTTCCACTGTTATGCTGATGATACCCAGCTATATCTGTCTATAATCCAGATGAAGCTAACCCATTACATAGATTACAGGCATGTCTGAAGACATAAAAACCTGGATGACTCTTAACTTTCTGCTTCTGAATGCAGACAAAACAGAAGTTATAGTCTTTGGACCAGAGTCTCTGAAAAAGAAGCTGATTAGTCAGTCACTTCATATGGATGGGATTAAACTGATTTCAGATAAAGTAAAAAATCTTGGTGTTATTTTTGATCAGGACCTGTCATTTAAATCCCAGATCAAAGAGGTTTCTAGAATTTCCTTCTTTCATCTGAGGAACATTGCAAAAATGAGAAATCTCCTGTCCAGGGGTGATGCTGAGAAACTAGTCCATGCATTGGTTACTTCAAGGCTGGACTATTGTAATTCTTTACTATCAGGAAGTCCACAAACTGTAGTTAAAAGCCTTCAGCTGATCCAAAATGCTGCAGCCAGAGTTCTGATGAAAATTAAAAAGAGAGATCATATCTCGCCTATCCTGGCTTCTCTTCATTGGCTTCCTGTTAAATCAAGAATAGAATTTAAAATCCTCCTTCTCACATATAAAGCCTTAAATGGCCAAGCTCCATCTGATATCAGAGATCTGATTGTTCCTTATGTTCCTAACAGAGCACTTCGCTCTCAATCTGCAGGTTTACTAGTGGTTCCTAGAATTTCTAAAAGTAGAATGGGAGGCAGATCTTTTAGTTATCAGGCTCCTCTCCTGTGGAACCAACTACCAGTTTTAGTCCGTGAGGCAGACACCCTGTCTACTTTTAAGGCTAGGCTTAAAACTTTCCTTTTAGATAACGTTTATAGTTAGAGTGGCTCAGGTTATCCTGAGCTATCTCTATAGTTATGCTGCTATAGGCTTAGACTGCTGGAGGACATAGGGACATTTAAAAATGAGCTTATCAAAAAAGTCCATGTTTTAATTTCTACATTGTATTTTTTTTTATTTGACCATCAAGTCTGATCATTTCAATTAAAAATAAGATTCTCAGAAAGTAGAATATTACATGAGATCAATAACATCTTTCTTTTATTACAGAAATGTTGTGGCCAACGTAATCACAGAGGCTGAAGTGACAGACTGTCTCAAAACTCAGAGGAACTCAAGTTAAATTCTTTGTGGACAAACTTGGCAGATAAAACCAATTGTAGACCTTGAATGTCCTGCATCAATGAAAACTAATGGGATGAAAGAGGACCAAGTCGAGTTTATTCAAATATCTGGAGTGATCCAAAATGTTTAGACTGCTGCATTCCTGAACAAAAGAATGTCAGAAGCATCTTACCTGGAGAAAACAGAGTTTCCTCTTTTCAGATGAAAATAATCTTTGACTTTAATCTGAAAATCCAGGTCTGGATTAAAATTGGAAGCAGAGCTTCCTAAACTCCAGGTTTAGGAAGCTGGTCGTCTGCTGATGTCGGATCCAGTTTGATCAAATCCAAACCAGAATTTAATTCTTTCTGTTCACAGGCTGATTACTACGACTGGCTGAACCCAAACCCACAGCCTGTTGTTTGTAAAAAGACCAGCTATTAAATCCACCTCGTGAACGTTAGCATTGAGCTGAAAGCAAAATAAACATGATGAGAACCTGTCAGCTCAGGCTGACCTTTGCTCAGCTTGATGAACCTGCTGGAAAAACAAGAAGCAAAGCAGCAAAGGAAAAGCTTTGGTATTAAAGTGGTAAACCAGATGCTTTAATTCCAACGGTTTAGTTGTTTTGCTTTAAACAGCAATCATAGAAGCTGATGACTGGAGGAGAACGCAGAGGAGCTCCTTTCATTCAGCTGCTTGAACACAGAAAGGAGCTTTAAAAGCAGAAAACAGAGCCGACAGCGTGAGACGGCCCCCCCGCCCAGGAAGTGCTCGGTGGCGACAAGAAGAGAGCGAAAAGGAACAGACATGACTTCTAGATGGAGATAATATTTGTATATAGGTAGATAATGTTTGGTTGATTTGTGGGGGAAAGCAATCAGATCTTTTAAATTCAATACAATCAGAAGGTCTTAGCTCACTAGCTAGGTCAACAGAGAACCTGATAAACATGCACTAAAATACAAAAGAGATAAAAATCTGAAACAGAAGCTGAGATTAGATCCTAATTTGGCGCCTAAATCCAGGCTCAACTGATTCTTTAAAAAATGCTCAAACTTTTCTAATTTTTAAAATAAAATGGGAAACCAACATTATTGCACATGAGCAGAAACAGTAATACTATTAGAGCACGGTTCAAGCCCCGCCCCCTCATTACCAACAACCAAAGAAAGATGGAGGACAGATGAGACGGCCAGCGGAGATGAACATTGTGCTTCACATACAGCCGACAGAAGTGCTTTTTAAGCTGGAGAAACGTGGTTTTAAAATAAAATGTGGTGTTTATGGTTAGAAGGCGGGCGGGCGGGCGGCCATCTTCCCGGCGCCGCCTAGAAAATCCAATCAGTTGAAAGGAGGAGGAAACCTTCAGGCGTTAAAAAGATGTTCTCCTTCAGGTCCAAGGTCGCTGCTACATTAAAGCTGCACTCGTCTGTGTGCAACATCTGGGGGTGGGGTGGGGGTGGGTTTCCTCAGCTGGGTCTGCTGCACCCCCCCCCCCCCCCCCCCCCCCTCCAATTGGTAGTTAGGTGGCAGTGTCCAGGTCCAATAAGGTGGCAGAGTGATCCAGTAAAACACTGAAGCTGCAGTGAGGCTGTTAAGTAGAGTCACTCTGGAGGAGGCCGACGCCGCGGCGCCGCCGCTGATGGCGTTCTGGGCGTGCCGTCCTCACACCGGCCCGTTGACAGACACTTCCTGGGTCTGCGCAGAGTCCTCTCTGTTCACACAACATTAGGAAGCTCAGATCATCCAGCACAAAACATTTAATCCTCATCTTCTACATGGACACTTACTTCCTGTCGGGCTGCGTGTTTACAGGCGAGTCCTCGGAAAGCTGCGGCGAGGCTGGGGGAGGATCCGATAGAGAGAGCGTCTCCAGGGAAACCGGACACTCCTCGCTGAAGAGAGAAACACCCGGAAAATGAGCCACCATTCAGTTTAACACTGTTTAATCCACCAGATTAGGAGAAGCTGAAAGACTACGGCGACCAGATGTCCCCAATTTCCAGGGACGGTCGCCGTTTTGGACCACCTGTCCCCGGCTAAAGCCGTCCCCAGAAATGTCCCCGATTTTACCGCTTTATGGATGAGGGGGAATTGTTTTCTGTAGACTGTTATCACGGTAGAAAGAGCGCGTGAGCATGCTGCTCGCAGAAACAGCTGTTAGCTAGCTGCTCTCAGAAACGGCTGTTAGCTAGCTGCCAAGCAGCTGTTAGCTAGCTGCTCTCAGAAACGGCTGTTAGCTAGCTGCCAAGCAGCTGTTAGCTAGCTGCCAAGCAGCTGTTAGCTAGCTGCCAAGCAGCTGTTAGCATATAGAAGAGGAGCGGAGCGCGACTTTTAAAACAGTCAAATAAATTGGTTATCAGAACCAGTCTCAGCTGCCCGGCATCATCTGGCTGATCATTGGGATAAATGTTTGGTTCATGCCTATAGGTTAATAAAAAGGGGCTTTGATGTGTTTGTTTTACTAAAAATGAGAACCAGAAATGTAAGATAAACTGAGCTAATGACTGAAAAGTCAAAGGCTGCAGCTGAAAGAATGATTGAAATCTTATAAGGTGATAATTTGGTACAGCGGATCTCCAGGGATAAGGGTTCCTCTAAAGGTGTTTTTAGAACTGACTGGTGATTTTCAGTTTATATCTTGAGATAGTTCGTTAGTTGTAAGTAAAGTTGGAAGCTGTTTTTTATGCTTTATTTTTGTTGTTTAAATATTAATAAATATGCAAAAATTCGATGAAGCATGACTGTCCCTGTTTCCTATTCTAATGTTCATGAGATGCATTTAATTTCATCTACGAGCTGGAAATGTCCCCAGATTAGATTACTGTCATCTGCTACCAACGCCTCAGTGTCATCATTTACTTTCTTTCAACACCTCCTTAATCTTGTCTTCTGATACAGCCTTTATATATTTATTTATACAATAACAGTGGTTCTATTCGGTCAGAAATCACCACATGGCTGCAGTAAACAGGAAGTAGAGGCTGCAATCCATCAGTAATGGAGCAAAGTGTGAACAAATGCGATGCTATCTGGAAAGTCATTCTTAGCTTAGCATGTTGGTGACGGCGCTTTATAGGAAGCTGTGAGGAGATGCTGAACAGAAGAGGCTGAACGGCGTCCTCCCAGTTCTAAATGCTGAGGAAACGCTGCTGGTCACACGGAAACGGATCGTATTGCTGACAAACGTCTGACTTCAGCTGAAAGGAACAAACCTTTTGAGGTCAGCCGTCTGTTTGGTGGCCGTCATTTCAGAGGGGATTGCTGCTGCAGCAGCAGGAGGATCTTTAGCTTCACCTTGGGCTCCTCCAGAGGAGTTGCTGTCTGAGGCCACAGCTGGAGCGTTTGTTCCTCCTCCTGGAGGAGAAACGTCTGAGGAGGCACCGACATCTGCAGCAACCACAACCATTAAAGCACATCTTCTGACTCAGAAAGACATTTCAGCGTAACAGGCTGTTAGCTCACCGTCCTGCAGGTGGTTCTGTTTGGCTTGTTTCTCGGGTTCTCCGCCGTCTACAGGAGAGCTGCATCTGGGCTCGGTACTGAGAGATAAAACCAACACTTTTAGATCAGCCTGGTCTCCTCTTTCAGTCAACTGACGTCTTCTGGCTGTTTGAAAGATGTTCTACTTCGTGTGGAAGGTCGGTTTCTTACCCGCTGAAAGGCTGGAACTCTGTGAAGTTGGCCCAGCCTGTACCTTTCGTCTCCGCTTCCTCAGAAGCGGCGCTCTCCCAGCCTGTTGGCGCGGGGGCCGGAGCGGTCCCTCCAGAGTCCCGGAAATTTGCCGTCCAGCCTGGAGCTACGGAGACATGAACTATTAGACTCCATCAGGAGGTTCCAGCTGCGTTCTGGAGGTGAACGGCTGCTGTACCTGCGTCTGCTGAGCTCTGCTTAGAGTCTTCGTCCTCGTCTGATGGGGATCCAGGGTCCTGCTCCTGACCGCCGTTCTCCACTCGGCCCCTGGACTCTTCTGCTGAGGCCTGAGACGCCCCGAACCTGAAACAAAGAGAGGAAAAATGGCTGCCGACCACCTGAGTAGGAATAACAACCTGTAGTGAGATCAGAAGTGGGGTCACCTTGTTCTGGATTTAGCTTGTGTTGCATAGTTGATCTCCTTCTCCTCCCAGATGTCCTCTTCCTCCTCTTCAGCATCATCAAACTGACGGATTCTTTCTTTACAGCATTCTTCAAAAGCAGCGGCATTGGCCTGAGCAAACAGCCAGAGTCTGAACTGAGCATCTTTATGTTTGGAGGAGGAACTTCCTCTACGATCAACATTTCAGCTTTGCTGTTTTATACTAAGCAGTCCGCCTTAAACTGACATCAGAAACAGTAAAAGCCTGAAAGAGGAGCCACCTGAACGTCTTTAAAGTCCAGAAACATGAGGTGGAGCGGCGCAGAAATAAAACCAACATTCCTAAAAAAGGAAGGATGGCTTCCTGAAGAGAAGGAAGCAGGAATAATCTTAGCTCCTTGATCAAAGGAACCTCATGACGTTCCCATGCAGCGCTAAGCAGCTACTGGATTTCCCACCATCCTTTGCGTGTAGGACGTTTTTGGATGGCGGTAGTCCCATCTGACCAGCATTTTCACGCGTGTCTGAATCATAAAGGAAGTCTATCAGGACGATGCTCCTACAGCTGATCTGTTACCGTGACAACGCGCAGTGACTCAACGCTCTAGATATTAGTATGTAGACGCACCCTTGGATGCTGCCGGCAGAGAGGCTGACATGCCAGAGGGCGGCCATCTTGGGTCAGACAGCTGCTGTCAGTCAACAGGAGGCCTCAGATTAGAGATAATATTGGAATAATCTCTGACGTCCACTTAAAATAACCAAACTAACCTTACAATGACCCATTACACATTTATTCAGATTAAAAACTATTTCAGATGATATGGAATTAATATTAACCACAGCTTGGTGATAGGCTGCTCTGTCAGCACGCCTATCACCCAATGATGCGGGGTCGGTCCATCTTTATGACCCAGTGACAGAGCTAATATTCCTGTCTCTGATGATGGAGTCTGATCTCTGTGATGAAGCTACAGCTCGCTGCTCAAAGTGACCATAAGGAGGCGCTGCAGGAACAGTAAGCTGGACAACCTCTGAACGGAACGATTCGCGTTAAAACCAGTTAAAAATGTACTTACACTATTATCATCAGCATCTAGAGAGAAATTGATTTCTGTAATTCTGTCAAAGGCGGCGCTGTTGAGAGAGCAGAATGGGAATCAGGATCAGAGGAGCTCAAACTTCATCCTAACAGATAGAACACTGAATCCATGTTTTACACAGGTTGACCATCAGCCGGCTTACTTGATGTTTTCGTCGTGTTCACTGAACTCCTCGTCATGGAAACCAAACTGTTCCACAAAGTTGGCAGTCATCTGTTGGATCTGATACTCTGAGAAGGTCTGCAGAGAACAGGGACATGAGATTTTACAGACAGCGTAGGATGTGTGCTCAGAGGGGGATCCATACCTGCTGCAGAGACAGATCGTTGGGGAAGTCGTCGTCTTCACTGGACGAGTGGATGTTGTGGGTGCTGACCTGCAGAACAGAGGAGGAGCTCAGCGGTCTAACCTTGGAACAAACGTTTCCTACATTCCTGACTGTCTGGCTCTGAGCAGCTTCTGCAAACTGGGAGCAGAAATCTTTCCTCACCGTAAAAGCAGAGACCAAAACAGATAAGATTAATCCTTCACTGTCCTGCAGTGAGACTGAATCAGAGACTAAAGCCTTCTGTACATTAAAACTAAAGACGAGCTCATGTTGGATATTCTTTATTCTATCCTGTGGTTTCTGAGCATTCAGAGATCCTGTCAGCTCGTTACTCGGCTGCCCTAGACTGCAGGATCCATCCTTTTCTCACAGATACGGCTAAAGAACAGAGAGAGGATGTATGAGTCCACATTCAGAGCACTGAGGTCCACAGACTGACGGGTTGTTCCCTCACCAGCTCCACCGTGTTCCTCCTGTTGGTTTCTCTCAGGGTTTCATCCACAAAGCTCTCCCAGCGACCTCTGCAGTCTTCAGGCAGCTCTGAAATCAAACCAAGTTTTCCTCATTGGTTGGTTCATCTCAAACGACGACTCATCAGCTGCTAGAAGATCTAAAAACCTTTGATCAGGTCGGCCATCTGGGCCTGCACCGGTCCCTTCTCCAGGTTCTGGACCACCATGTTAGCAATTCTAGTAAGATGCCCCATGTTTCCTCTCCTGGCGCCGCCCTCCGCCCTGACACAGAAACACAGTTAGAAAACTCCAGCTGTGTGATGAAAGCCCAGAACGATAAATGAAGGTTCCTCACTGGATTTTATCGTTCTCCTCCCAAGCGTCCAGGATCCTCTGAACAAGCCGACACTTCTGGAAAAGCTGAGGGTCGATCACAAACACAACAGTCAGTGTTGGCTCTCAGTCCTGACAAACAGCTGGGTTTGGTCATCACATACATGAGCCACCAGGGCGTTCTGCGCCGACGTTTGGGACTCGCTCTGTGTGTCCTTCTGCTCCGCCTCCCCTTCAGCGCTGGAGGCTGGTGGAGGGCCGCCGTGGTTCTGGAGGTTCAAGCTCGGCCGCTCGTCTGACGAAGGCTGGTTCAGAATGGCCGCCACGCACAGCTCCACTTGAAGGTGCAAAAAGTTATTCCAGGAATATTTGAAGAACAGATCCTGAAAAACAAGTGAGAAGTGAATTTGAATGGATTACAGAATAGAATTTAAAATCCTCCTTCTCACATATAAAGCCTTAAATGGCCAAGCTCCTTCTGATATCAGAGATCTGATTGTTCCTTATGTTCCTAACAGAGCACTTCGCTCTCAATCTGCAGGTTTACTAGTGGTTCCTAGAATTTCTAAAAGTAGAATGGGAGGCAGATCTTTTAGTTCTCAGGCTCCTCTCCTGTGGAACCAACTACCAGTTTTAGTCCGTGAGGCAGACTCCCTGTCTACTTTTAAGGCTAGGCTTAAAACTTTCCTTTTTGATAAAGCTTATAGTTAGGGTGGCTCAGGTTATCCTGAGCTATCTCTATAGTGATGCTGCTATAGGCTTAGACTGCTGGAGGACATAGGGACCCCTTTTTCATCATTCTGCTTCATTCTATCTCTATTCTCCCACTCTGCAGAATCTGTTAGTTCAATCTCTAACGTTCTGCTCTCTCTGCTTTTTCTCATAGTAGCTTCATCTGGTCTGTTCCTGTTTGGCTGTGACTCCATCCTGGAGAGAAATATCAGCTGTGCTGCTGCCATCAACACCTTTGTTTCTAGATGTTGGAGCTTGGCCTGTTTTCCAGTGTAGTCCTGTTTCTCTGACTGTGACTAACTGGATGTGCTCTCTTCATCCTCTGACATGGGAGCTGGCTCGGAGCTCGTCTGCCTGGTTGTGTGTTTCCTGGACGGGGCCGCCTGTGGAGCTGGTTGACAGTTGCCTTTTGTATCTATGCTTCTTTTTCTATGTCTGCTTCTGTCTCCTTGAACCCCAGTCGGCCTCAGCAGATGGCCGCTCACACTGAGCCTGGTTCTGCTGGAGGTTTCTTCCTGTTCAAAGGGAGTTTTTCCTCTCCACTGTCGCTACAAGCATGCTTAGTGTGAGGGATTGCTGAAGAGTCAATGAGTCGATGCAATCAACTGGTTTTCCTTAGATAGAAAACTTTGAATCAATGTGACTGGATGATCTGGTGAACTGGAAAGTGCCTTGAGATGACATGGGTGTGAATCAGCGCTATAGAAATAAACTAAATAGAATTTATTCTGTTCAGGTGGATTTATCCGCCATCAAAGAGAGCAGACGGTGCAGGTGGGTTTAAAAGGCCAAATCTTTGCTCTAATAGTTACTGTAGGGAGGAATACTAAAAGGAAATACATCTTTCTTTGTTGCATTAAAAGCACTCCACAGGATAGCCTAAAACATCTGAATATTAAGTCCTAGATTTTCTGCCAATTATCTCAGAATGGGAAACATCTCTATCTTTAACATCTGGTTTGCTGCATCTTTGAGATGCAGCCCTTTTCAGGAGGAGTGGCAGCAGAACCAACGAGGCATAGAACCTGCACCAGCACAGCTTTCTAATTTTCTGATCCTGAATTTGAGCTTTTCTTTACCTGTAGCCATCATCATAAAATTTGTCGCTCTCTGTAAAATGATCCAAAATAAATTATCTTTCTCAAATGGATTAACAAAAATATTTCATTTATTTAAGCTTTTAATCAATATTCTAATTTTCTGACCTGTGGTGAGAAAACTGGACTGACAATGTTGGGTCACCAACAGTGGAGAAACCTTTTGCTCCAACTTTGACAATATTTGCAAAGTTCACACTGCAAAAACTATCTAGAAATAAGTCAACATTTCTTAAATTAAGTCTATTTACCTTTAATTTGAGCAGGTAAATAAGATGATTTGCCAATTGAAATATTATTTTTACTCTTTAAATGAGATAATTAGGTAATATGCACTTGAAATTAGTTATTATTATTGCTCGTATATTAATTGTAAATTGTAGTGTTCAAGTGTTAAACTGCCTCACTTCCAATTCAATAACAAAATGCACTTATTTTAAGCAAAAATTACTTATTTAGATTTTTCCAGGCTTACAGAGGTGAACAGAGGCGTCTTCTACTTCTAATTTGGTTCAAACAAAAACATTGAAGGATGAAAAGGAACCTTTTAGATTCGGGCAAATTTCAAACATTTTATATTATATGTACAAATCTAAGCACATAGGAAATTTAAGAAGTACAAATAAATATGAAAGAAACCTAAATTCATCAAAAATATTAATTTTACTGCCTTCTGAACATTTTCATTTTTCTAAGTGGAAACGCCTTAAAGAGAAGCTGCAGATCCTCCTGAAGCAAACAGCTGCCTACCAGCAGTAGATCCATGGTGGCCAGATTGCAGAGCTCCTGACAGATGCTGGGTGAGTTGGTCTGCAGCAGGGCAGCCACAAGCCGTGCAACATGGAGGCGGGCATTCCCCAGCGGCTGCTCCAGGATGCCAACAGTCATCAATATTGCACTTTTCTGTCAAAAGAGAAAAAAAAAGGTCAAAACTGTTAGATTTTCTTCTGCATCGCTGGCTGACTCATTCATGGCGCCTTACCTTAGGGGGGTCAAGAAGAAGCTGCTGGAAGTCCTTTAAGTGGGGCTCAATGGCATTTAATATACTGCTGCTGACAGTGTAAGACCTTTCGTAACCCTGAGAATACAGATCCATTAACCCTTCCAACCTACGGGGAGCATTAGAGAAACAACACGTCAGATTTGTTGGAGAGAGGCGTCCATGTTGACCTCACATCAGCAGCCCTCTAGTTCCATCCAGGATATGGTGGACAAATATTTCTCTTTCATGCTAGTAAAAACAGTGCTAACAGTTAAGCAGGCTTTGAAGACCTGCTGGGACCAGTCCTTCTACTGGTCAAAGACCAGTCCTTCTACTGGTCAAAGACCAGTCCTTGTACTGGTCAAAGAAGTCTTCCAGCTAAACAGGGAGGCAGCTGGTCCCAGTATGAAGGAGGAGCTACTCACCCAGACCTCCTGGTCTCCAATAAGGTAAGTAGCACTTGAGTTCCATTAACAATGGAGGCCTCACTCCTCTCGCCCTCAAACATATTTTTGAGAAGCCCCGTTACAGTTTCCTGCCTGGAAGACACAGAAACAGCCGGCTGAGAGAAGAAAGCATGGCAGCCCTGGTCTCTTATCCTCTCCTGCAGCAACAGGAAGCGCATTGATGCTCGCTCAGACTGTCCGACTGGTTCCATCAATCCTTCACCCTTTACCTTTACAGATATAATGTAAAGCTGTCGATTCAAAATACACAAGGAGAGATTTATACAGTAGCAGCCATTCAAAATGGCCCTTCCTAGTCAAACACCAGCTGAATGGCAGACCACTTCCAGCCACTGGCCTCCCACCATGGCGTCTGACCAGGAGATGACACTTCTCCTTAGATCTTAATGTCCACAAATCCTGACAGAAAGAATATTTTAGTACAAAGATTGATGTTTAAAAAGGACCTATCAAGGAAAGTGGGGAACTTTTGAATGGCTGCTACAGTATAACTGTTACTGTTGAGGATTAGACACAACGAAACCCTTCAGTCTAGTTTCTAAGACAATAAAATGACGTCGCACAACAACCGCACTGCAGAAAACTTAAGTGTATTTACCTTTAATTTGATCAGGTAAATAATATGATTTGCCAATGAACTGAGTACTTGGGATTTTAAAATAAGATAATTAGATAAACCACACTTGAAATAAGACAATGCAATTGTTTTTTCTTATTTTAGATGTAAATTGTCTCTTTTCATTGGCAAGTGTCACACTTCTCATATCAAGAACAAATGCATTCAATTGTTTAGATTTCAATTTTTGGCAGAAGGGTGAAAAATGTGGCAAAGTGTTGGAATTTGGGCAAGATTACTGTGCTCCTTCTGAACACGGACAAACCTCTCGGTGAGCTCACTCTTTATTTAGGATTTTCATTAACTGAAGTGATAATTATCAACCAAATGCATGGAAAATGTTGCTATGTCACTGATATTAATTACATTTATGTTTAAAAAGCAACAGGAGCACAAATAAACCACACAAAGCTTTGAACTGACTGAACTCACACCAACATATCCGACATTATAGCCAGCCTTTGATCTGTTAAGCTAGTTTTAAAAACTTACGACTCCAGCACGGTCAATAGCGGGTCAGACTCCATGTTATCCTGCATCTGATTGGCCTGATCTCGACTGAGGCGGATGATGTCACAGAGGGTTTGGGACGCATTTGATTGTCTCTGAAATGAAAACAAATACTGAAGGAATCTAGATGTTCAGAGTGAATGATTAAAATATGGATCAGTCAAAACACGACAGAGCATGAGGAATGTTGAGCTGTTAAGTTATACTTTGGCATCAATTTCACAAATAAGGACAAATTACGTCTTTTAGCATCAAATCATCAATATCAGAACTTAAAAAAGAATAATTGTGCAAATGACTATGAGCTCCAAGCTTTCTTTCTGAAATGGGTTGTGGTATGATGATTTAATTCTCTTCATTTTTCAATTTTATTCTCTTAAATGTACTATATGACTTTATTCCCTAATGTTGCGACTTCATTCTCCCAAGGTTGCGACTTTATTCTCCTAATGTTAATGTTGCGACTTTATTCTCCTAATGTTAATGTTGCAACTTTATTCTCCTAATGTTAATGTTGCGACTTTATTCTCCTAATGTTAATGTTGCGACTTTATTTTCCAAATGTTGCGACTTTATTCTCCTAATGTTAATGTTGCGACTTTATTCTCCTAATGTTAATGTTGCAACTTTATTCTCCTAATGTTAATGTTGCGACTTTATTTTCCTAATGTTGCGACTTTATTCTCCTAATGTTAATGTTGCGACTTTATTCTCCTAATGTTGCGACTTTATTCTCCTAATGTTGCGACTTTATTCTCCTAATGTTGCGACTTTATTCTCCTAATGTTGCGACTTTATTCTCCTAATGTTGCGACTTTATTCTCCTAATGTTGCGACTTTATTCTCCTAATGTTGCGACTTTATTCTCCTAATGTTGCGACTTTATTCTCCTAATGTTGCGACTTTATTCTCCTAATGTTGCGACTTTATTCTCCTAATGTTGCCACTTTATTCTCCTTATGTTGCGACTTTATTCTCCTTATGTTGCGACTTTATTCTCCTAATGTTAATGTTGCGACTTTATTCTCCTAATGTTAATGTTGCGACTTTATTCTCCTTAAGTTGCAACTCTATTTTCATAATATTCTGACTTTATTCTGATAATGTTGTGACTTTATTCTCGTATTTAAAAAATGTTTATAAACATCTCTAGCCTGGCCCAAACACTCCGTCACAGTGAAACAGATCCAGCTGTGTTGATCTTTTCTCCTTACCTCTTCATCCTTGCCAGTATGGATAAGTTCTATGAGTCTCTGTACCAGCTTTTCTTCATTCAGCCACTGAAAAAAAGCCTCAATAAAGACTTGCTTTTGTTTTTTTGTTTTTGATTTCAGTAGAAAGATGTTGATGACTTACATGAAGCACCTCCTGCCTTAAAGGTGCAGGCTCCACACAACTGATCAGGCGAAGAAGCAGGTCCATCATGGCAGAGGCATCTATGTTTTTAAGCACCAAACCAATAAAGCCTTCTTTTTTCTTTAAAAATGTGATCACCTGAAAAACACACATAATACCAGCCCCATGTTAGTGACAATGACACAAACACAAATTACAGCTGTGTTTGCTAACATTAACATTTTGAAACGAACCTGTTCTGTTTTCCTGGCAATGAGATTGCCGATGGTTTTACTGAAGAAGCTGGCGAGTAAAGGATTGAGGGGCGAGTCCTGATCCAGGAATTTGTAGAGTGTCTCAAGGAGGGATTCATCCCCACCGAGCTTATCATTTATAACCGACACATCTGAGGTCAGTAGCTCACAAGCTATATTAGGAAACCTGATGAGATGAAACAGAAAGTGTAATAAATCATTTTATTTGCTGTAATGATGTAAATCCAATGGTGCAGCTACTTGGGGGACGAAGTGAAAAACACAGATCAAAGGTTGTCCAAACCATCGCGATTCAACAATTATAGTTAATCATTCATTTCTGTTAGAATGCAAAGAAACAAAAACATACAATCTTGCCTAAGTGGACTGAGCAGGTAAAACCTGTATGATTTGAATTTTTTTTTTAAACCAGAGCAAACTTTGTCTCGTGGATAATGAGTCACTTTTCATGTATGTTGGTGTGTTGTGACTAGGGATGCAAGCTATCGGCTCATTAGTTCATCTACAGTTGATTGATTGATTGATCCTGTATGATTATACGGCTCTGTTTAAGAATGAACAGCGGCGCCCTCTTGAGAGTGGACACAATACTACAGGTAAACCACAATACACCACTCGCAGTGCAGGAAGCTATACTTTAAGACGCGGGATTGAGGAGGGCGGATCGATCCTAGGATCATTCCTATAGATACCAACGCTGGTATTGATATTGAAAAATATTCGTTTAAGAAGACCGACACTTTTTATTCTCTCCAGCACGCACTAACTGCAACAAATTCACCAGTGTTCACCGTCTGCGTTTCAGACCTCTAGAGAATATCCAGGTGGATTAGAGTGATCAGCTTCATATTAACTTTCAGAGTAGGTATTATATGTCATACGTTACTGTAGCCCACTCAGGAAGTGTAATTAAAGGGGAACGCGTTTTTTTTTTTTTTTTTACATTGGGCCCTTGATTTTACGTTATTCCATCATGTTCTACTCACCCTTATTAGTTTAGTGTCATTTGGAGCAGTTCTGAAGATATTCCATTAGGATATATCAGAGTAACGTCTCCCTATGGGAAACGACTTGAAGGCACAAACTAAACTGTTCATTTATTCTTTATGGTACGCCAGCATTCAGAACATGGAGGCCAATCACTGTCCTCCAGATATCCGCGGTTAGATTTTTAATATTTATACGTTTCAAAAACAAAGCAGCGCGTGTAACATTACCTAATCCTTTATTTTTCCCACAATGGGGACATTTATAGAATTACATAAAAAAGCAAGAGCACACAGTAGAAACAAAATTACTTAAAGATTGAAAGATATTATATAAGAGCTAGATTAGGAAATAAACACTGAACAGATTATTATTAATATTATTATTCAATAAAAATCACAAAAACACAGAAAGGTCAACAGTTTTATGACACATCAAGTTTAAATGTAAAAAGTCTCGTATCGATATCAGTGATATTGACCCTGTATTTCGTTGGTATCCAATCAATTAAAAATTCCAGGGTTTCGTCCACCTCTAATGCGGGACTTTCTGCCCCAGAATTACCCATAATGCAGCAGTGCTTTTCTGGTAGCTGTTGCCAAAGTTAAGAATGTAACAGAGAGCACACTTTATATCCTCAGACTTTTCGTTCACTGGAGTTTCCTCGACAGCTTGACATGTTTGAAGAACTAGAAAAAGGCAAAAACAGCTCAGAGTTTTGCGTCACATCTGCAGTTCTCCGATTGGTTCTAACTTGATGACGCTGACCCTGTTAGTCCCGCCTTTGAATTCACGCTGTACCAGACAGATACACCGTATACGGCCAAGTTACACTATTGGGGGTTCATCAAAGCAATGAGATGATTAAATGGAACCAATTTTATTCTAATAAACCATCATTTAAACTTTAACATGAGTTGATTGTTTGTGTCCCTAAGTTTTAAGCTACTTTAAATCAGTATCCAAGGTCTCATTAGGAATTGGTGTTCCTGTTTTTAGCCTTTGTTTTTAGATCAGCCAGCCTAAAACATGAACAAAAATAGGTGTGTTCAGCCGTTGTCTCCAGTGGGTGTAATCTCAAAGCCGTGCAGCCATTGTGTGAATCTTTATCTGCAGGTTATATCAGCGAAAGCTGAGGCTGACAGTCTGGATGTTGTTTATATTTGAAGTTGGATCCCAATGGTTGGCTTATTTGACTGTCCAAATATAAATGTATAAATATAAAGATAAACTCCTAGATTTTTAATACATTTCGAGTTTTTTTTTTAAGCTTTTCTGTCTTTTGTGCAGCTTAGTCACATTCAGTTCAGTTCAGTTTATTTCTATAGCGCCAATTCACAGCAGGTCACCTCAAAGCCCTTTACAGTTCACCAGATCATCCAGACAAATTGGTTCAAAGTTTTCTATACAAGGAAAACCAGTTGATTGCATCGACTTATTTACTCTTCAGCAATCCCTCACACTAAGCATGCTTGTAGCGACAGTGGAGAGGAAAAACTCCCTTTGAACAGGAAGAAACCTCCAGCAGAACCAGGCTCAGTGTGAGCGGCCATCTGCTGAGGCCCACTGGGGTTCAAGGAGACAGAAGCAGAAATAGAAAAATGATGGACATAGAAAAAAGTGGCAGAGTTGCGAGGCAAGAGCTCAAGCATGTACGACTGGAAGCCTTTTACACCAAACCAAGCTTCTTCTGCGTCCCCGCTTTCCTCCTCTAAATAAAAAATGGATGACGGAGGAGACTCATCCACGACCTCCGACACTAAACTCTCCTCCTCTTGCATGTTTCCTCTGTCCATAGCGTTCCTTGACAGTGTTGTTTCTAAGTCACCAATTTAGTGCTACTAAATGGTTAGCAAGATGCTTTCCAAGAAACCGGCCACAACTAAACTTACTTGCGAACCTTCCTCTACAACTTGATAATCGACCAATCACATTCACTTTATTCACTTGTGTAAAGTCGGGCACCACATGGGAGAATTCCGAAATGCAACGGTTGGAACAGCCGCTTCCCTACGACTTTAAATAAAAAAGTTGACAATATTTTTTTATATAATTCTGGTATAATTGCTGTTCAGAGTGGGCTGCTCTCTCAGCCATCTCTACTCTCCAGGTTACGATTAATCGATTAACATATTAGTAAACCGATTGTTTCAGCCCTAATTTCCATTGTAAATTCTTAGTCTTCAGTATCATGGCAACAACAAAAAAGGCTTGGATTGGAAGGCAACTGGACTACTCCTGGATCGATGTGGAAAGGTGTCTTCAATAACACTGAGCTATAGTCTGGTTGCCTTCCAATTTAAGCCTGTTTTGTAAAATCTCTCTTATCTGTTTTTTACTACCTAATATTATGCATGACGTTCCCAACACTGCTGCTTTTGCCCTGTAACCATCAGCATTAGATCTTACTTGAAGCGGCTCTTCTCCTCGAGGTCAGTAGGGGGCTCTGTGGTGATGAGGCTGACGAGCTCCTGCATGCAGTGGTCCTGGGAGAGAAAGAGGAGCAGCCGTCTGTTTTGGGCCTTGCACTCCTGTAAGATGTCGTCTTCCTCCATCAGCTCTCTCAACGTCACGTCTTCCTTATCCAGCAACTGGTCGATGTGGGAGGTGGTGTGCAGGTCAAACTTCCAAAACATGATGACCGCTGGGATGGGGGGCTCAGCCCTGGATGGTACGGAGACAGCAGAGGAAAACAGGAAAGGTGAGGGATGAAAGCAGGAGAAACATCCGGAGAACATTAGTGCCCAAACTGGGCTGCTTTATGGCAACGGTAGTCAGGAAAAATGTGAATCTCTACAAAGTTAGTGATATGATAAAGATGAAAAAATGAGGCAAACTGGAATTCCTGAACCAAATAAACACAATCATTATAAATCTATAGGAGTGATGCAACAGGCTGTGAATGTGAAGAGCTCTCACATACCAGTGGACGAAATGTGGATATCTTTAATCAGACCTCCCCCACAGGCAGGCAGGCATTGGTGTTTGTGCAGACAACAGAGACTGTGACAAGGCGTTGCATTTATCAGCATGGGTCTTTTCTTAAAACACAGGTCTCTTTGGGAGATGATGCACAGCGAGGCTCACCATAACCTGCAACAGATGGAGAAACGTTCAGCATGGCGTTTGAGAGGAATGTTCAATCTGCAAACAGGACATTACTAAACATATTACATGTTATGGACTCCATCTATCTGTAACTTAAAGATTAGCTCAGTAACTTGCAAAGGATAGTTATTAGAAAGGGAGCTAAAAAAAAACTGACAGATTTGCAGTTTTTCAATCTTCTCACATTTGGCAAAACATTGAACTTTTTATCTTCCATTATGGTTTCATTCTTCAACCAACAACACGCACTAAAGGACATTTTTCAATGCAGTAAAAAACCAGTGATGGTGCTATAACACCTTGGATGGTTTTTATTTTGTCCAAAAGGTAAAAACTTGAACCAACGGGTCAGAGGAACAAGCAAACTGTACATTTCACCAGAATATGTATCCATTCATCCATCCTTTAGTTAAATGATGCTCTCTCAGCATTTCAGGATGATCTGAACTGATCTCTGCCCCCCTGACCCAGAAAACTCTAAATCGTGTCACAGACTCTGCATCATAACCATAACACCAAAAGAAAATACTGCATATTTGCACCATAGATATTTAATTCTTCCATATCAATGCGTTTTTGCACCATGTTTTTTTCTCCACAGTGTTTACATTTGATCACTGCTGCTCTTTATAGAATGGAAAGGTCATGAAAGCTGTACAAAATGAAATTTCATTTTGAATATGCTGGTGAAGATTCTCAGTCATCCAGGTCAGAGTCATTCCAAAAAAGTAAAAAAAAAAACCAATCCACTGGACTTTGATTCCAAATTTGGAATGGCTGCTTGATGGTGAAATGCGTTTTCTAACTCTGGCGCACGGCTACGACATCACTTAGTGAAACTCCCAGATGTTTCAAAAAGCAGCTCTACACATCACCAATAGTACTCTCAGGCTGGATCCTATTACTCTACAGGGTCGACATATAATCATTTTTTTCCCTATTTTTGAAGTATGTTTCATCTTTAAATAATGTTTTATTTTATGGAAAGTTTGAATATTTCCACTTAGTTAATCATATTGCTTTACGGTGCCATCTAGTGGACAAGTCAGGTTTGTACGGTTGTGTACATTTTAATTTGAAGAGACCGCTTCTCCATGGGAAGTGACGTGTTTGCCAGCGCAGCAGACAGATGATGGCAGCGAACGTGTTGGCCGTCTTTAGATGGCATTTGTCTTTCATTTTTGAGGTTGTATCGCTGGTATGTGATTTCTACAAACGTATTTTATATTTGTTAAATACTTGTGTTCTTTTGTCGTGACTAGAAATGAGTTAAGCAACCGTAACATTTCATTTGTAAAAAGCTATTGCTCATGAACCAGAGGGTCGGCAACATGGCGTCTCTGCTGATTACTGTTTTATCTTTAATGGGGTTTTATAATTTAGATTATACACAGTGCAGTTCAAGCATTTTATGGACAAACAAATTATGTAATTGCAATGTATTTTTCTTATCTCCATTTTGTCCTTTTCTTGTTTTATCCTTTTTAATATAATTAAACCTGCTTAGACACACCAACGTCTGCAGAGTCATTGATGCAAGAAAGGTCTGACCATAACAGCACAACTACAATCTCTAGAAATCAGAGCTTCAGCTGTTCTGACTCCAAAATCAAGATTCAATACGTCTATAAATAATCAAGAACCCAGAGAGGAGGATCATTTCTGCAGTGATCAAATAAATGATGTTTATATGTTTTGATTTTGTTTGGTAATGGAATAAGATGCAAAGGGGTAAAACTCTCCAAGGGTTTTATTGTTTTTATGTTGTACTTCAATGCAAACAAAACTCAAATGTAAACAAAGAAGATGGAACAAACTGAAACCCAGATATAAATATAGATTTTTATTTTAAAGTCATGGTTGTGTGGGAGTTATTCAAATTTACGAGATAACTTATTTACATACTGTCACAATTGGAAAACTGATGAATACCTTTTATTTATCCATTGTCAGGTCTAAAAACTGACCCCTGTTAAATTTAAAAACCTGAAAAAGAGAAGTTTTTCATTGTTTTTCCTGAAGGCATTGCCGTAGCTCATCCAAACAACACAGACGCAGCGGCACAGAACAATGATACCTGCTAAGCTGTTTCTGGCACAAAAAGTTAAACAACTGTTAACTATGGAAGTAAAGCGACAGAGGAAATCAAAATGCTTCCTCCTTTTTCTTTGACTTGTTTCTAAAAGGAAGACGGGTTTTCACACAGACTGCAGCGGGTAGCAGCATCCATCTGGCTCAAATCAAGAGCAATAATGACCCGCTGAGCACTCGGCGGGCGCTGCAGAGAAGCAAATACGTAACTTTACATGCAGAACAGAAGTCTCCAGAGGCTTTCTCAACAAAACGGTCTATTGGTAAAAGAAACAGAAAAAAAGACTAACATGCAGATATCTAGATCCAACAAAGTCAAACAACTAAAGCACTGAAATAATAAACAACTTCAACTACTATTTATTGCTGCATAAACAAACACCTATTAGTAAATAAATGGGTGATATATTATGCTGAGAACCTAAACATCCAATCATGTACTGGTCATTGCATAATGGGAAGATGTGACAGATGTTGTGACAGATGTGACTATGAAACGATCCTCAGAGGCCACTGAACTGGAGCAGACTGGTAATGTCTGAGCCGTGGATGACAGACTGAAACCTTCTGAATCCAGGATGCAGTGTTTTCCTCTGCTGTGATATTTATCCATAAATCCTGATCAATCGAACCAGGCACATGTTGTAGATATGCTAACCTGAAGGACTAGAAATGTTCAAATCTGACTTGAAATTTGATCTGAACTAAAAACTGCTTCGCTTGAAGAACACCTGCGTGCACGGTGAAACGTCGCTCACACTGAGCGCTGTTAACAGGCCGACCGCCTGCAGAAACGGCGCTCATGTGGAAAGATTTTTATGTGGGTTTATTCTTCTTCTGCTCTCTCTGCTTTTTCTCATAGTAGCTTCATCTGGTCTGCTGCTTCATCCTATCTCTATTCTCCCACTCTGCAGAATCTATTAGTTCAATCTCTAACGTTCTGCTCTCTCTGCTTTTTCTCATAGCAGCTTCATCTGGTCTGTTCCTGTTTGGCTGTGACTCCATCCTGGAGAGAAATATCAGCTGTGCTGCTGCCATCAACACCTTTGTTTCTAGATGTTGGAGATCAGCCTGTTTTCCAGTGTAGTCCTGTTTCTCTGACTGTGACTAACTGGATGTGCTCTCTTCATCCTCTGACATGGGAGCTGGCTCGGAGCTCGTCTGCCTGGCTGTGTGTTTCCTGGACGGGGCCGATTGTGGAGCTGGTTGACAGCTGCCTTTTGTATCTATGCTTCTTTTTCTATGTCTGCTTCTGTCTCCTTGAACCCAAGTCGGCCTCAGCAGATGGCCGCTGACACTGAGCCTGGTTCTGTTGGAGTTTTTTTCCTGTACAAAGGGACTTTTTCCTCTCCACTGTCGCTACAAGCATGCTTAGTGTGAGGGATTGCTGAAGAGTCAATGAGTCGATGCAATCAGCTGGTTTTCCTTAGATAGAAAACTTTGAATCAATCTGACTGGATGATCTGGTGAAACGTAAAGTGACCTGAGATGATGTGTTGTGAATTGGTGCTATAGAAATAAACTGAACTGTTCCAGGAACTGTAGAACCAGAGAGACAAATTGTTTACGGCCGTAACCAAGGACAGGAAGAATGCGCGCCACGCTCAAAGATGGTCAGTGGCTACTACTCCCCGTGTGAGACCCACTCCAAGCAGCAGTTATATTTTTTTCGAAGGGTGCGTCCCGCCCTCCTTTATAAAAGAGCCGCCCTGGCTGCCCGGTTCGCCCCCAGTGTTGCCAACTCAGTGACTTTGTCGCTATATTTAGCAACATTTCAGACCCCTCCAGCGACTCTTTTTCAAAAAAAACAACTAGAGACAAATCTAGCGACTTTTCTGGCGTCACTGGCGGCTTTTGGAGAGTCTTACGTGAAAGCACGCATCATTCCTACTCTTGTCCTCCAGCGGCAGATGCTGCTGGGGGGCGCCTCCCCCGTCCCAACCCCGCAGGAGTCCCTCTCAGCGCTGCAGACAGAGCCACAGCAGGTTTACCCTCAGCAGAGCGAGCGGGATGTAAATGTAAAATGTTATTTGGTCTAAAATTAAAAACTGAATATGAAATGTTTTATCTTAAATAACGGCAACAGTCACTTAATCAACTTGTCTATTGTGTTTTCCTATCTAAGATAATGATTTGTAGGCTCCTTAGTGGACCACAAGGGGAAAAAGAATAGTAGAAAAGAAAAAGTGGCCTCAAAAAATGCACTTTAAGGGGAACGCTGTTTTGTTTTGTTTTTTATATTGGGACCTTGATTTTACATTATTACATCATATTCTACTCACTCATATAAGTTTTGTGTCATTTGGAGCCGTTCTGAAGATATTGTTAGGTTATATCCAGTAACTTCTTCTATGAGCAACGACTTGAAGACACAAACTAAACTGTTCATCATTTATTCTGTATGGTGCGCCAGCATTCAGAACATGTAGGCCAATCACTGTCCCACAGACATCCGCCGCTATATTTTTTAAATAAATAAATCAAGTCATCTTGAAAACATTCTTCTTCCAAATGTTGGCTACATATTACGGGTTTTTTCTCTGGCCAGAAGTTCGATGGCAAATCCTCCCTCTTCAAGTTGGCGATCCAACGACCAACCCGTCCGTGGAGGATCAGGAATCAGAAAGGTGGAATAACTCTTTTTTTCACTTTTACCCGATGTATTCCAACATCCAGCTGCCATGCACGTGGGCATTGTCAGTTTCACTATAGCTCTGGTGAATTTCAATGGTGAAGTCCTCTGGAAATCTTCAATAATTGTTGTTGATTGCAGATGTGTCTAGTAGTTCCCATTGATTTAGCTTGGAAAGCGGGGAGAATGGCGCTAGGCTTACCGCACCGTGACGTCACTGCTGGAAGATGGCAGGAGGGAGGGGTTACTATATTTGGGCAAAAATGGCCGCTACCAGACTCAGTGATCACGACAATATATATATATATATATTTTTTTTTTTTACCGATTAACGCTAAATTCATTAAATCAGCGCGAATGTATTCGTTTTAGGTATAAATAATGATTAATTGATCGTTGCTGGCCGGAGCATTTCTTTCATTTGGTGAGTTCTTGCCAGAGCACCACTGGAACATATTTCAAGGAACTTATTATGTCTGTAAGGCATTATGTTAAATGCAAATATTACAGTAAAAGGTAATGAAATTTTACTAAATAAAGTTGCAATGTAGAATTTCATAAAGTTTCACAATAATAGCTCTGCTGTTTTTGCTTCCTTTCTTCATCTTGTTATGATGCCATTACATTGTCGCTCCCAAAGTTCAATGACTTATAACACAGTCATCCCAACATCTTTTATTACATCTATAAACAGACAGGATGTCCCAATACGACTTTTTAATTTTAGGAACGATACTGCTATAGGATAGAAATGGTTCAATCAGCGTTTCAATCTGGGATCCCTACATCCCAAGTTAAGCATCACTGTATGATTTTTTCAATTGTTGCACGCAGCTACAGCTCACACTCTACAACAAAACCATGCGGTTTCATCGTAAAGTGCGAGTTCACAGCTCACAATGTTTGTTCTAACACTGTGCGACCAGACGCTCTGATGCGATCTACCTGGAGTACAAGAGTGAAACGCGCTGCCATGGCAATTTGTGCTGAAATCCCTAAAAAGAAAAGGAGACGACGTATCTGGATAAAGACATGGCTGAGCTAACGTGGCTACTACGGTATGTCGATTTTACAGAAAGAACTCCTTTTCACTCATTTGATCCCCACCATGCTTCTGTGTTTACATCAGAGAGGAAGAAGAAGAAGGATCCTTGTTTGCCCACTGAGCGATTTGCCCACAACCACCTTATGACGGCCGACTGCATTTCAAACATGTTTGATTTTCTCCTGACCTTACAATTCCCGATGGGGAGGTGGTCGGTAGAGGCTGATCGCCCCTCGTTACCCCCTGTACACCACACCACGCACCAACAGGCTTAAAGGAATAGTACACCCAAAACATGATTAGCCTTCATTTTCTACTCACCCCCATGCTGAACAAAACTCTGGAGTACTCTCAGGACACTTGGAATACATTGGACGAGCAGTATGGAGGAATATTGACACGTTTTTATGGACTTTTATGGACCTTTCTGCCTCGGGCGCCATAGACCTCCATTATTTGAATGTCAGCAGACAGCAAGAAGCCTCCCAGATCTCCAGATGCATTTGAGATATCAAAAAAGTACTCCAGAGTTTTGTTCAGCATGGGGGTGAGTAGAAAATGAAGGCTAATCATGTTTTGGGTGTACTATTCCTTTAAAGTCGGCCTGATCAAAAAATTCTTGCACAACTGGAGAATCGGCCAGAAAAGGGCAAAAAAAAAATTTGTACCGTGTACGCCCGGCTTAAACAGCATGCTGCTGTGTAACACTGCGTTGTGGCTGTGAGAGGTTTGTAGCAGAGACTGATGGTGACTCTATTTAGGCAGTACTCAGAACGACCATGCAGATAAAATACATCTGATATTAATCAAACTGACACTGAGCATCATGACTTGCAGTGGTAATGTAGCGTTACTTGATTGTAATTTATGGGATCTCTGCCTGTCCATTATATCTATTATATTTCAGATACATTAACTGGCTAATAAGAGTTTATTAACTTAATAAACTCAATTCAAATCAATTCAGTTTATTTAAACTCAAACAGAGTATTAACTGGTTGTACCAAACAAAGTATTAAAAAATCATACACAATAGGAAACACTTTTATATAAAGAGCAGATAATATATGTATCGAATATTAATATACACATACTTAACTGTAGTTGGGTACAAAATGATGATTAAAATAATAAGTGGGAACAGACTGTGCTCACAATGTCACCTGGAGCCATGCAACACAACTCTCAATCTTAGGGCAGATGTGTGTGCATGCATTTAACCATTCACAATACTTTGTAACTTTAATTGATGTCACTTTAACTTTAAGTTTGATTAAAACCAATAAATAAGCTGACGTTGCTTCTGGCATCCAGTGCAGATCAACTGACTGTTAGAGCTCAGATTTCTGTTTACTTCAACTGAGGCACCAGCAGCACATCAATCTGAATGGAAATCAAAGCACCTCAGCAGAAAACCAGCCATCCTAAACCAGAACTGAAGGTTTTCATTGAACTATCTGGTGTTTACTTTATTCCTGTACGATCAAGAAAAGCTCAGTTAGTTCTGGATCACACCGTGAGCAAAAACCACCACAGAACATCTCACTGCTTTACTCATTAGTGGCAAAACGGCAAAGAAAAAAAATACATAAGATTTTTTGTTTTGGTAACAAAATAAGCTGCAATCCCAAAGGAGGAAACTTTACCTTCTGAACTAAACTTGGCTAAGTTATGTTACAAAGCGATGGCATATTTAATATCTGTATAAATGTTCAAAGAAAGACAATTCAAATGACTAATATTGCAACATCAGCCAAAGTCTATCAATAAGGTTTATTTTCTTTCAAAAGAAAACGATCAGGCGTCACCAGTTCCTCATTCTTCTCATTAGCCTGTAAGCTAATTAGCCACTGACTGTTGACGAGTGTTCAGCGAACTTAGCAAACTTAAAGCTTCCGAACTTAGGTTCAACTTTGTCGTAACTGAAGCAGCCAAACATTTTCAAACACATTGAGTTAAAATGTTTCCATGCAGTCCTACCTTTGACTGAAGCTCCCGCTCTGCTCCTTTCTTCTCTGTTAAACTTTAGTTGATTTATCGAGAAACAGGCAGCTCTAGGTCACAAGCTAACTGCTAGCTAGCTGCGCTGGTCTAGCATCCGTTAGCCTGAGTGGTTTGTTTTGAAAATGGTTCAGACTGCACAAGGCTAACATCAACTAGCTCAACTTGGCTAACGTTGAGCACTTCTGAATGTAGAAACAGTTCAGTCCCCGACCCGCCCGCATTAATTACTTCTTGGCATTGTTAGCAACACGTATTATTTTATATGTACATGTATGATTTGGACTCACGCACAAAGATACTCAACGCGCGGCTAAGTTTAGCAAGCAAGGCAGGAAAAACTCAAGTCATAAATTTCGAATCAAAATGGCGTCGTGGTGACGAAAGCGCGCAACAGACCGGGCGCGCGCACTGACTTCACACACATAGAGAGCCAGTTTCCACGATTGATAGATTTACCACTATTTAAAAAAAGATCTTTGCAGCTCAGAGAGGTAATGGTGGCATTGAATTGTTAGACTATATTGATATGAACTATACCTTTAAGATAAAATGGATAAAAGAATGTTTGAAAAAGCCAGAATCTCTTTGGTACTTTATACCACAGAATATTTTTAGAAAAATCGGAGACTTATCCTTTCTTCTAAATTGTGATTTTGAGGTTTCAAAATGACCACTAAAATTGTCTTAATTTAACCAACAAGCTTTATCAGCAGTAAAATTGTGCTTTGTCCATAACAGAACTAGTATCTGGAACAACTAATTCATAAATAGGAAAAATAAATCTTTATATCTGAAACAATAGATTAAGAAAGGAATAATCTATCTTAAGGATTTACAAAATAACAAAGGTGAAATTTTTTAGTTATGAAAAATTTATAAAAATCCAAAATCTTTCCTATTACCTATAAGGAATTTCAAATGGTGATAATATTCCCGGTGGTTTTCTCCAATTACTTAAAGGTCATTTTGAAAGGCAAGAGGCAGAGAAAGTGGACCTCACCTTCTTTATTAACGGTGTAAACTTTATAAGTCATCAATGTAACAATAAACATATAAGGAACTATTTTTTTTAGGAAAAGGGAAATTACTCCGAGAGGGAAATTTGTATGGTCCTCCTCTTTCCCTTATATTAACTGGAAAAAAACATGACTCCTTCCACACAAATATGCTACTTCTAACCAAATAAAAGAAATCCAATATAAATTATACATAACATTTACCGTACTAATGCTTTTTTATCAAAGTTTGTCAATATTGATGTCAACTGTGTATTCTGTAATACTGAGGAGGAAACTATTTTTTTAATGTAAATTTTCACAGATATTCTGAAAAGAAGTTGAGGTTTACATCATATCGCACTCCAACACACCAATTAAATTACAAGCCAAAGGTATAATCTTTCACTATACTAATAAGGATGGGAAATCCAACTCTTGGTTAACTTGATTATTCTAATTGCAAAATTCCACATACATAAAACCAAATTTTCCAAAGGTCGACCTTTCTTCCTTGTGTTTTAAAATGATTTAAAAAAATTACTTCAACTGTATCCAAAGAATCAACAATAAAAAAATGTACACACACATAATTCAGGAAATATTTGTTGAAATGTAAGATATCTTGCCTTTTTTTGTGTTTTTTTTTTTTTTGCTGTTGTTGTGTTTAAATCTCTTCCGTTATTTATTTAAGTTAAAGTATGTTATATCTTAATTCTAATTGTACCCCATCACTGAATACTTATTTTGGAGATACTGTTCTATATCTTGTGATATTTTTTGTCAATATTTTGAAATTTGCAATTTTTCAATAAAGTTTTGAAGAAAAAAAACAAAAACAAAAAAGATTGATAGATTTAAGCAGCTCAACAACATTATTTCCACTCATTTGTGGTTTAATACTTTTTCCGGAAGAGGATTAGGGCCCCTTAAAAAATTTTAAAAAAGGATTTTTACATTTTATTTTATTTTAATATGGGAAAAAAAGTGAATTCTGACTTTAATCTCAGAATTGTGACTTTTTTTCCTCAAAATTCTAACTTTAATTTTAGAATTGTGGATCTTAATGTAGATGGGCACCATGAAGATGTGGGAACAATCAGCTTCACTGACAGATATGTGAGCTGTTTGGGAGGAACAGGAACACATTGATGGAAAATGACGGAATTAGGCGACTTTTTACATCCCTGAGGGGTCCCCGGTGATGCTATTTGATTAATGGAAGGAGATTACGACAAGAGAGCTGGTGTCTAAAACAGACATGGCTACGGCTTGATGCTAACATGTTTGTTAGCTGTCACAATTAAGTCAGAATTCTGAGAGAAAAGATCAGAATTCTGAGAGAAAAAGTCAGAATTCTGACTTTTTTTCCCATATTAAACTGAAATAATTTTCAAAAATCAGGTAATGTTTTTTTGGGGGGGGGGTTTTCAGTGGCCCTAATCAACTTCTGTAACTTTTCGGCAGTTTACAGGGATTAACTCTGGATTAATCCAAGAAGAAATAAATTATTTTAGATCTCATATTGAATATTGTAGATTTATTGTTTAATTATTGTTTAAATTGTTTTTTATAAAGTATTTGATACAAAAAACAACTGTTTAAAGTTATGTTTTGGAATTTGGGGGACTAATATTATATTAAAAAAACTTTGTATATAGGTTGCATTAGTTCTGTAAACTGGGTTATCAATAAAAAAACAACAACAAATAACTCCCAGAATTGATACCATTATCATTGAAAACAAGGATGTCCAATCAGTCCTTCTCCATTTGTTCTGGTCACACTAGTAGAGCCAGTTTCAGTGAATAGTCTATCTGTTGATGACTAAACAAATTCACTATTGGCAGATATCTGAAAGCCAACTGAATTTAAAAGAAGTGATGGAATCTGAACATATTTTCCATGAAAAAGCTTTTAAGGCCGTAGGTTGAAGGCAATAGTCAAACTGAATCCTAATGACGGAGTTTCGATCAGTCAGGTTCTCATTATTAAATACATATCTAACTTTTGGGCAATATGTAGAACACAGAGACCTTATCTATCATGAAAGCTGAAGGCACAAATTCTGGTTAGATCTAGTTTTACACAAACGGCAGCTAAATCCTTTCAGGGCTCCCAAATGCTAAAGGAGGCCATGCACTTCTCTTGGTGTTGGCTTGTAAGTGTAATGAAGCCAGTCAGAAACAAACATTAACAATTTTGCAAAAGCATACAAAATTAAAAAAAAAAAACAAGCTCTGATAATTAGGGGCGGATTTAGGATATTTGGGGCCCTAGGCAAAGAAAGGCAGGGGGCCCTATGAACTCAGAAGACAACACATAGAACAGACCCATTCTACAGATAGAGACATGTTAATAGAATAGACATCCATTATCTGTTCTAGGTTGTGTCCCTCTCTTCTTGTCCCCTTTCTTCTTGTTTTCCTCTCTATGTTTTGTACTCAGCTGACTTTTCATGCTGTCTCTAAAGGAATGAAAGATTTTTTCCAAGCACTAAGCTCACTTAGCTGATTGCTCCTTCCTGTGTTTCCAAAAAGGCCAAAGTAAATAACCCAGTCCTTCTTTTCACTGTAGACAAGCCATGATCTGCTTCTCTGTTCTCCATTTTTCATTTGGATGAAATAATAGCTGCATGAATCATGACAGCAGACAAGATAGAGGAGAGCAGGAGGCGGGGTTACCAATCTACTCGCTCTGGAGAGCAGAGTTCGCTGCTTTTAGATGTTGTCTCCAAAGTCTCCAGTAGCAGAAAATAGTCTCTAGATTTGGCGCTAGGAGCTTTTTAGAAATCAAAGTGCTAGAGGGGTCTGAAAAGTGGCTAAATATAGCGACTAAAGCGCTAAGTTAGCAACACTGCTCTTTGCATGGTTTGTTTTCAAATGGTTTGCTGCTGTCTGTTTGGACCTTTCTGAACATGTGCAGCAAATGGACTGATCCAATATGGTGGACACTGAAGGGGGGGCTGAGACACACTTAATATTATAAAAGGATTTTGATCAAAAACATAATTAATGTGCACAAATGAGGAATAGTTGTATTTACAATTAATGTAAACAGAGTTTTATGGGCCCACAGGAACATGGGGCCTTAGGAAACTGCCTAGTATTGCCTAATGGGAAAGCCCCCCCTGCACATATTACAGGTATAACACCTGCTGTCAGCCCATTTGGTATTAGACCAGGGGCCTGTTTCAGAAAGGAGGTTAAGTGAAAACTCTGAGTTTGTTAACCCTGAAATGAGGTAAACTCTGGGTTTTCTGTTTTAGAAAGGGAGGTAAGTTAAACCTGAGAAAGCAGAGTAAGTCAAGCCCGTTTCTGAAAGAGAGGTAACTTATACTCAGAGTCAGTTACCATGGGAATTTACTCTGTGAACCTAACCTGGTCGGGAGCAGGTTTTCTTCAGAAAATCCAGAGTTTATTTTGGTCTCCTCCCCTTTTTTAAAGAGGAAGTGGTGTTTAAACACCTCATTGATTCTTTGGGGACATACAGTATTCATTGCACACATTTCAGTCACATAGAGCGCATCAAAGGAAATGAAATGGCATGTCCTTTTATGGATGATCCTGTTTGTAAAGCCAGGTAGCTACTCTACTCCCATGATGTGCTCAAGGCTTACCTGCTTGAAATATGTTTTTATATTTCATTTTCAGCTGCTGCCATGTTCTTTTGATGCCTGCAGGATTGCACCTATCCATGAAAACTAAATTAGGTTTAATAAAATACTGTTCTTCCAGTTTCACCTCTGATATTATAACAGTTGGGTAAGTTACTCTAAAATAGTTCTTAAAGGAATAGTACACCCAAAACATGATTAGCCTTCATTTTCTACTCACCCCCATGCTGAACAACACTCTGGAGTACTTTTTTGATATCTCAAATGCATCTGGAGATCTGGGAGGCTTCTTGCTGTCTGCTGACATTCAAATAATGGAGGTCTATGGCGCCCGAGGCAGAAAGGTCCATAAAAGTCCATAAAAACGTGTCAATATTCCTCCATACTGCTCGTCCAACGTATTCCAAGTGTCCTGAGTGGGTAGCATCCAGAATTTACCCGAAACGAAGTCATTTAGAATGTTTTTAGAGCATAAACAGTAGTGTATAGGATTTCCTGAAAGCGCGCGCCAGCGCGTTCATGACGCTACGGAAGCCGGCGGGAGGAAGTTAGAGGGAGAAAGTTCAAATCAAAATATACCTTTTAAAAATTTGATATTAAATCCACAATTTTTTTATAGTCTTTAATTTAATTACAGTATTTATATGACTTAAGTAACTTAATTCATTACACCCAACACTGTATAAAAGTAATTAAAATGTAAACTTACGCATTGACTCGAGCAGCTATTTTCACCCAAGCTAACTCTCTCTCCTTCGCCGCTGCAGCC